AGTGAATTTTCATGGAGAGAAAGGTGAGTGGTGGTAGGGATGGGTTGAATCCCTCTTTTGGGGTTTAAGTCCACTGGATTTTGTTCTATTGTTGCTTCTCATTTTTCCATATTGCTCCTCAACTTATCTTCAAGGTGGATGCCTCCATTGCTTCTCTTTATGAAGTGATCTTGCAGAAAGGAACACTCTGGCCCCCTTCACTTTTCTGCTCCCTGCCCAGTGTCAGGGATGAGGCTTTCCCCTTCTAACCAGAGCTAGCTTAGAGCCCAAGGAAAATCCAAGCCCCTCAGGTCCAGACTCCCCAGTGGCCTAAGGCAAAGCTGGGTGGCTTCTTAAATCAGGCTGGGCAGATCCCTACAATGCCAGGCCTTGGTGGTCCCTGCTGTGCCTGGAGAGGGCTTGTGGTTCCAGGCTGTGTCTGGGCAGGGCAAGCATTGGCAGTAATGATAACAAAGTCATAGCAGCAGTGCTGGGCTCCTTCAGAGAGTGTCCTATGTGCTCCCTACATCTTATCTCCAGACTCTTCACCAAAACCCACCGAGGAAGGTGCCGTGATTATCCTGGTGTCATAGAACCTAAGGCTCTGAGAGGTTAAGACTTTATGAAATGTGCTTCAGGTCACCCAGCTGGGAAGTCAAAGCCAGAAATCAAATCCCAGTCATCTGACTTGGAAGATTGCTAGGGTGAAGGAGGCCTTAGAGAGGGATGGATGAGAAATGGGGCAGTGGGAGGTGGAAGCTGTCCTCCTCACAGTGGAGAAGAGGAAGACCTCAGAATCTCTGTATCCCTCTTCTGGCCCTGACAACATCCTCAGGACTGGAGATATTTCTAAACAAAGCTGCCAATATTTGTCTTCTCTGATGGAAGAGGAGTAATAGGTGGGCTGTGGCAAGATGGGGAAAGGGGCCGCTGACGTGGGAAGATGAGCACTAGACCGCAGCCTGAACACTGGGGTCTTGGGTTTTAAGCCCAGCTCTGTCCCTAGCTGTGTGACCTCAGAGAAGACTTTGCCCCTTTTGATCTCAGTTTTCTGATCTATGCTCTAAAGCTATATGCGTTGCAGTAGAGCGCCTATGGTTTTAGTCTTGGATGTTCAAGTGGGGCCTCAACAGTCTTAAGGGTTATTGGGAGTAGGGCATCCTGGGGAACATCAGCATAGTGGGGAGCTGTTAAACAGGCTGCCTCTTTAAAGGGCAAATACGCAGCACTCCCCTTGGTGCTCAGGCCCTTCTCTGTGGGGACAATACGTCCTGTTTGGAAGGTCAGTATCTCCGTCTCCCGTCCTCTCTTTTTTTTTTTTTTCTTAATTTTAATTTTTTTAAATTTCTTTTCAGCGTAACAGCATTCATTGTTTTTGCACCACACCCAGTGCTCCATGCAATACGTGCCCTCCTTAATGCCCACCACCTGGTTCCCCCAACCTCCCATCCCCTGCCCCTTCAAAACCCTCAGATTGTTTTTCAGAGTCCATAGTCTCTCATGGTTCACCTCCCCTTCCAATTTCCCCCAACTCCCTTCTCCTAACTCCCCATGTCCTCCATGCTATTTGTTATGCTCCGCAAATAAGTGAAACCATATGATAATTGACTCTCTCTGCTTGACTTATTTCACTCAGCATCATCTCTTCCAGTCCCGTCCATGTTGCTACAAAAGTTGGGTATTCATCCTTTTGTCTCCCATCCTCTGGAGGCCATACCACCTCACTCCCTGTACTTGGGGAAAATGTTAAGAAGTATATAATGACAAATATAGCATAGCCCGACCAATCAGAGCAGTCATGGCTGTAAAGAGCTGGGGTGAGACTGTAGCAGGGTGTGCCAACTGTATGCCCATCCTGCCCCCAACTCCGGATTGTTCCTAGGAAAGTCTGGCTGAAGAGCTGAAGAGCAAAGACAGACAAGGAGGGAGATGAGGGAGCAAAAAGTTGAGGAGGTGAAGGCAGGGAGCAAGTTCACAGGTCTTCCCAGACATCAGCTCATCCCTCCCTTGAACCCTATCATCCTGTCAGCTCAGCCTCACTGTGGCTTCTGGGAGTGTCCTTCTCATGCTTTGTCCCCTGAAAAAACAGCCTCTCTACCAGCTGCAGCTGCATATTGGAGGCTGACGAAACAAAGGGGACTTGGTCTGTACTCTGCAGCATTATCCCAAACTTGACAATGGGCAGGGGACCCGAAGGGTGGTTGGCCCCGATCTGCTTGCAGAATTGGTGCTTTACTAAGCCTGATAGAGACCAGGGCTTTGCCTCACCCACTCTTGGCTACTGGCTATCAAGTCCCATAGAAAACCCCAAAAGCCTCCTTTCCTCTTTCATTTTCCTCAGATGCCAGCCTATTTTTGGTCTTTGCCACCATGTACCAGGATTGCTGAGTTAGCCCACTGGCTTCTTCCCTTATCCCCAGCCTCAGGACTGTTGCCTTATCTCTTTGTAAAGGTTCCTGATTGCTTATCAACTGCTAGGAGTCCGAGATTTCAGTTAATATTTCTTGACTGATTAAGGAAGGCCTGTCTTTTCCATGAGCACAGGCCATTTCCCAATTGAGCAAGAAATACTTACTTAGCACCACTAAATGCAAGGCATTTTATTAGCTGTAGAAATGGGAGGGGTATTAAAGAAGCAGGAAGCATGGCCCCACCCTCAAGAAGTCTTCACTATGCCTGTGGAGAATCAATATATAAACATAAAAAAGATAACCAATAATATGAGACCACTTCAGTGTGTTAATTGAGGCTCTTCTGGGTCTATTAAAAAGCTTGTCACAAAGGTTATAAAGAAAAATAAAATGGAGCTAGTAAAAATCCTCTAGAATGACAATTAAAATGCGTGATGACTTAGAGGCCTGATCAGATTAGACCGTTACTAGCTGGATTGTTAGGGTTTAGGAAATAAAGCAATGTTCACTAAAAGTTACCTTGAGTTCACTAGGAACAAGTTATCACACATTTATCTTTTTCTGATAAGGTTCTAGAGCTCCATTCTGAGGTATACCTTACATTTGGCATTTCTCAAATTCCACAAGGCTTCAGGAAAGATCTTGTATGCTGTCTTTATAGCAAAGAGGGCAAGATAAGAGTGTGGGTTCATGGATTCCAAGCTGGTTGAAGGACTGTTCCTTGAGAGTGTTGATGACTAGTCTGTTGGCATTCCCAGATGACATAGCTATGTCATCTGGCTCTGTCTGTATCTTTGTTGTGGTCAACATTTTTAGCAATGGTATGGGTAAAGACCATGAGTATATTCTGAACATTTCTGTCAATGACCAAATCTAGGAGAAATAGCTTAGAGTCAAGACTCGAAAATACCCCTTGTTGGTATGCGTACCAAAGCATTGAAAGAAGAAACATAAAGAGATATTTGCACACCCATGCTCATAGTAGCATCATTCATAATAACCAAAAGGAGGAAGCAACCCAAGTGTCAATTGATGGTGAATGGATAAACAAAATGTATATAAATACAGATGAATAGTATTCAGCCTTAAAAAAGGAGAAAATTCTGATACATGCTATAACATGTATGAACCTTAAAGACATGATTTTAAGTGAAATAAGCCAGTCACCAAAGGACAAATGCTGGATGACTCTACTTCTATGATTCTACTCATACTGCTACTTAGAGTAGTCAAATTCATAGAGATAGCAAATAAAGTGGTAGTTGCCAGGGGCTCAGGGGAGAGGGAAATGAGAAATTAGTGCTTAATGAGTACAGAGTTTCTATTTTGCAAGATGAAAAAATTATGGAGATAGATGGTAGGGATGGTTGCCCAGCAATGTGAATACACATAAAACCACCGAACTGTACACATAAAGATGGTTAAAATGATCAACTTGGTGTTATGTGCATTTTATAATTAAAAAAAAAAAAACCCTAACCCCAGGCCTGTGATAATAATAGGGAAAAAGGTAGAATCTTTTTTATGTTTAAAAACAACAACAACAACAACAACAGCCAAACTAAGATATACAAATATGGAATGAGGAGAGTAGTGTTGTGGGTAAGCTCTCCTGAACTCACTTAGGTTATCTGAAAGCATGTTTGGGAACCAGTAATGGTCAAGGGTAGTTTTAACACTTTGGGGAAGCCTATGTTCAGGTAGTTGGGCTTATCCATCTAGAAGCTATGTGGCATCAATAACTAGGGCTGGCCAGTATTTCTTCCCAAGCTGGGGCAGCGTTGAACAAGTCTTTCCCAGTGGCCAGCTAAAAACTTAACCCTTTTTGCTACAATGACCACTCAACTTTTGGGTGTTCATGAGTTTTGGTCTCTGGCCAAAGTGGTATCCTCTGTTCTTGGTTGGTATAGAAAACGAATCTGACCAGATCTCCTTCAGTATTGGCTCAACACTGTTCCAATGATCAGCCCCATTTCCTTACTCAAGGTCCACTCTGATGACTCCCCCAGGTTACCTCTCCCTCTAGATGGATGGGTGGTGAATCCATGTCCTATTAATATTTCACGTTCATTCAAACATGCCTGGGCACAATGGACAGAAAACCCTGTAAGTCTCTGAAGACTTCTATCCTCTGCTCCTCAGGAGCCATGCCATATAATTAGCTTGCTGTCTCCTCTCCAGCCTACTTCAACCCTCCCCTTCCCACTGGATGAAACCTTTAAACCAGGCATCTGTACACCTTAAAATGGATCTAGTGACTGAGTTGGTCCTGCTGAAAATGGCTCTGCTAGAGGAAAGGGACTGGGATATCCATCTGTACAATCATGGAGATGGTGCAATTCATGCTCTGTGACTATCACCCACCTCTGTTCTCTGGGGGCATGGAGGGAGTACCTGCAAGTGTTTGTGGCAGGAGACACTGGAGGGGATGATGGGGAGGGAATGCCTCCAGGTGGAAAGAAGCTGTGAGAGAAGGGAGGGCGGGCCTGATTGTTGGGTCAAGGGCTCCTAGAAGTTGGGCAAAGAAATAATGGTGGCTCAGTGACCACTGTCACTGCCTACCTAGCTGCCATTGCCTGACCCATCTATGCTCTCTGTTTTCCTCTCCAGATCACAATGAGGACCTAGGGCATTGGCCTGTTGACTATCCCCCCTGGCCTGGAGTGACCATGGCCCCCCGCAAGAGGAGCCGCCATGGCCTGAGCTTCTTGTGCTGCTTTGGGGGCAGCAGCCTCCCTGAGATCAACCTCCGGGACAACCACCCTCTGCAGTATATGGAGTTTTCAAGTCCTATCCCGAACCCAGAGGAGCTCAACGTCCGCTTCGCAGAGCTGGTGGTCAGTGAGGGGACAGAGAAGAGAGGATGTTGACAATGGGGAGTGGGATTCTCGAGTAGGCAGAGCAGGACAGAGGGCAGGGACCCATGTGCTGGGATCTCTACCAATGAAACTCTGCTTCGGGTGAGGGTGGGCCCACCAGGACACCTCAGCTATGAGGGAAAAATAAGTCATTTACTGGGGAGGATACCATGAAATACGTCCCTAGAAGAATGGACCTACCTCATATCTCCAGCTTGTTCTGGATCTCATGGTACAGCAATTAGGCCATCTTGAAATGAATAGGTCCAGGCTTTTGTGAAATAAGGCAGTGAGGAGCTTCAAAGAATACCAGAACATTTGACACCTTCTTTCTGGAACTTCCCTGGGATTCTTTCAGAATATAAGAATATAAGGATGCGGAATACAGAATACAAGAACAAGGGACAGAGTGGGACTTTGTAGGCAGATACCAGGTCTTCAAAGCAGGTATGATTAACTAGAAATACGGAGGTAGAGATGCCTGTATTGCACCTGGTTCCTTCCTGGTCCCGGGCTGGGTGATTATATCCCATGTCTAGCCTATGGCAGGTGGAATCTCTGTCTTTGACACTATTAGCAGCTCTTCCTGACTCTGTGATGTCCATTCAGACTAGAGCAGCACTACACCTTTGTGAGAACCATTCACAAAGTGAGCATGTGAAATTCTATACTCTGACCACAAGGAGACAGAGCAGGAAAGAAGCATGATTCTTCTTCTTGGAGGTCTGGTAATGAGACAAAGTCAAGGAGACTCCCAGATCAGGGATGCCAGACCCACCCCGCCCCGGGATTCAGGGCTGAACCCTGTGTAGAGCAATGGATGGGAGAGAACAAAGTATTTACTAGTATAGAATGACATTTGGAACATGATTGGTGTTAGTACTTCCAAGATCTGTTTCGTTGTTTTTTGTTTATTTATCAGAATACTGCTGACAGTAAATATGTGGGTTTTCGATGCCACGCAACTTCCTCATTCATTGCAGACACCAACTAGTGTCCTACAACTTAACTCCATGCTGACACTAACTACCCAGAGTTCCCACAGACCCCACAGAGGAAGGGCTCAGATCCACAAGATGGCCCCCCACCCAGACACCAATCAGAAGTAGTAGGTCCCCATGTTGCCCTACACTTCAGAGAGACATGGCTACAAGTCGGAAGTTCCCATGATCCTCTCCTCAGGTTGAATAATTTGCTAGAATGGCTCAGAGAATGTAGGGAAAGGCTTCACTTACTACTATCAATGCATTATAAAGGATATTCTGAAGAATACAAATGAATAGCCAGATGAAAAACTATATTTCTTATATTACCACAGCTGGACATTTTCTTGAACAGAGCACATGAGTTTTGAAAGAAGGACAGGATGAAAGATGTTCCTCTCCTTGGCCCTTTTATTTAACGAGTATTTATTGAGCATCTTTAGTGAGTAGGACTCCCTACAAAGTACTTTGACAAAAACAAGGATGAGTCACACAGTCTTGTCTGCAAGAAGACTGGCATCAGCAAACAAACAGAGCAAACTAACATTGAGCCAGTTTTGCGCATTGAGCTAACACTGAGATTAGCATTGAGCAAATGAAAAATATTCCTTGAGAGCCCTCTGTGTGCTGGTCCCTGCCTCCAAGAACATAAAGTCTAATAGAGAAGACTGATTTTGAACAGTAATGACAAATGTAGTGAGTGTTTGGAAAGGGAACATTCATGGGCCTGTGGCAATGTCTAACAGAGAGTTTAATTATTGACTGAGGGTCAAAATGGTGCCCCCAAAGAATGACATTTCCATTGAGATCCAAAAGCAGATTGATGGCTGGAAAAGTGAATAGGGTTGCAGAGCAGTGACAGAGGTTGCCCCAGTAAGAGAAGCATAACATGTGAGTCTTCAGTCAGAAAAGAGCTGGGCCTTTAGGAGTTCTCCATGGAAGATGAGAGCAACAGGACTTCATACTTGATCTTAAGGGTAACAGAAAGTCAATGGAGCAGGATGGTCTTCTAAAAGAAGAAGGATTATGGGTAGGACATTAAGAGGGTTTTAGTGCAATCCAAACTAGGGATAATGGTGACTTAGACTAAATATTATTAGTAAGAATGGAGAGAACAGATTGAAGAGCTATTTAGGAGGATATACAGGACTTGCTGGGCTTGGGGAGTGACTAGAATCAGGGAATACCCAAGTTGCTGATGTGAGGAACTGGGTGGATGTAAAAGACAGGAGATGCCAGATGAAACTCAGGCTTAGGGGCCAGAGTGATGAACTCAGTTTGCATGTTCTCACTGTGCCTCAATTTCCACATCTATAAAATGGGTTGTTATAAGTTTAATGAGTAAACATTAAGCACTTAGAACAGTGCCTGGCACGTAGTGATACTACATAAATGTGTGAGGTACCTGAGGGATGTCAAAATAGTTGGGCATGGGAGGCAGTTGGATCTCAGGGTCTGGAGCTCAGGAAACTGGGGGGCTAGAGACAAAGGTTTGAGAGGGTTTGGGGTAGTAATAGCCCTTGGGAATGGTTGAGAAGTCTTTACTGGGAAGCATGGAAACAGACCCCAGGACCCCAGGATCCAGGTTGGTGCCCTGAGGGATTTCAACATTTGACAGTAGGAGAGAAGACTAGAAGACATCAAGGGAGCCCAGAATGAACATAGAGCAAAGCAGGAGGGATTGCCAGAAAGTGTGGTTGTCACAGAAACAAGGACAGACTCAATAAGGAGTGAATGGTCTGTAGTTAGTCATAGGCTACCTGGGATGAGCCAAATCACCAAGAAATAACCATTGATTTAGTGATGAGAAAAGACAGGTGCATGACTAACCAGGATTCAAGTTTGAATGTAACTGTTCTGGAATGCAGGAAGGGAAAGGTGGTCTTACCTGGAAATGGATATGAAAGGCTTGCTGGAAGAAGCTGACCTTGAGCCTAAGTAAATTAGACCAGGATCCAGGGGGTAGGTGGTCAGGGAGGGCAGACCAGGTAGAACTAACCACATAAGTAAAAGAAGAAGAAATACAGTTTGCACTGGGAAGAGTAAGGTGCATATATCTCTACTATTTCTTTGATTCCTGATTCTGACCATGGAAAGGAAATACTCCAGAAACTTTAAGCAGGGATCTGGGAATCTTGACGAAGGTTGTTACTGGGATATGTAGAGAGTGATTCTAGGGAATAACCTTTGTTTAACATTAGATCTGCAGGAGTCGTTAGTTCCAAAGGCAGGTGAACTAATGGGCATTGTTTCTAATTATCTTTGTATGTGCTGTCCAAAATGGCAGCTGTGGTCCCTTGGAGCTGCTGCATATTTGAGATATGGCTGGTCTGAACTGAGAAGAGCTGTAAGGGTGAAATATACACCAGATTTTGATGATTTAGATACTTTATATTCTTTTTTTCAAGGTCACTGACAATTTTTTCTGTTGAGCACATGTTGAAATGATTATATTTTAGGTATTTTGGATTAAATGAAATATATTATTAAATTTAACTTCACCCATTCTTAATTTTTAAAAAGATTTTATTTATTTATTTAAAACAGAGAGAGAGAGATCACAACAAGTAGGCAGAGAGGCAGGCAGAGTGGGAGGGGAAGCAGGCTCCCTGCTGAGCAGAGAGTCCATGCTGGGCTTGATCCCAAGACCCTGACATTGTGACCTGAGCTGAAGGCAGAGGCTTAACCCATTGAAGCCCCCAGGTGCCTGCACCCATTCTTAATTTTTACTATGACTAGAAATTTTTTAAAAATACATTTGGCTCACCTTATATTTCTATTGGACAGTTCTGACCTATATAAAGGAAAATCTTCAATGTTCTTCCTTAAAGTACAGGGAAAAGAGATATTGACATTTAAGACTCTTATATTTTCTTATATATTACTTTCACTGTCCTTATTGAAAATATAAAGATTATTAATAATGTTCCTTATTATCTTTCTTAAAAAATATTTTATTTAGTTATTTGAGAGAAAGAGAAAGAGAGAATGAGGGAGGGGCAGTTGGGGAGAGAGAGAGAAGCAGACTCCTGGCTGAGCAGGGAGCTCAACATGGGTCTCGATCCCAGGACCCTGAGATCATAACCTGAGCCCAAAGCAGATGCTTAGGTGCCCCTACTTTATTGTCTTAATGCAAGTATTGCTTTTTATTTAAAAAGAAAGCTCACAATACTTGAGTTGAAAAGCAGTCTGTTTCCTGTGGCCCGTTAACTCTTTCTTTTATGAGCCTTAGCACAGCTCATGAATCACAAGAGAAAAGTCTTCAATAAGAGAGCTTCTTAGAGCCCATCTAGTGCAGCCAAACCTACAGTGTCACTCCAAACTACATATAGAATGACCCTACATTCGATGATATCAGAACTACCCAATTCTACTCTTTGGGGAGTGTGGCTTTGTCTAGTGGAGCCTCCAACCTTGTGTGGGCGGAGGAGCTGCCCCTGACAGGCACACCTCCATGGGAAGTGGGTCAGAACCTCCCTTTCCATGGCATACTCTTCTTGCCAAAAGAGGACAGATTCTTGTCCTCACCGGTTCTTTTCAGCCTGTGCTGAGACCATGCTGAGGTTGGGAGGAGCCAGAATTTCTGGGGTAGAAACCCAAAGGACAGGGAGACTTGCAGAATGGGGCACAAACTAGATCTATATAGACTGAGTGCTTTGTCAGGCCTTGACTTATGATGTTGACCAGCTTAAGAAGGACAAAAGAATAAAGAACAGAAACCTAGGGCAAGACGGTTAGGAACTTGCAAAGCAATGCAGGAAGGAGGTAAGCAGGGAGCGGGGATCCTGGAGGAGGAGGATGGATTTGTAGAGACAAGTGGGAGTGGACAGGAAGTAAGGGAAGCATGAATAGAAGTAGCCCAGGCTTGGGTGGATGTAAGGGAATGGGGGGGGGGTGTGGGGCTGTATTTCTAGCTGAAGAAGAATTGCCCTATCATGCTTTGATACTCTCTGGAGGGAGACAGTAGACTGAGGGATAGGTTTGGAGGAATTACAATTTCCTGAAACGCTGAATATTCTAATGTCAACCATCTCTGGGTCTGACATATTTCTTGTCTTTGCAGGATGAATTGGATCTCACCGACAAGAACCGAGAGGCTGTGTTTGCACTGCCTCCGGAGAAGAAATGGCAGATCTACTGCAGCAAGAAGAAGGTGCCATGTCTGACCCCTTCCACGGCCACCTCAGGGTCCCCAGTATGGGACAGCTCTTGCCTCCATGCTTGCTCAGTCAACAGATATTTATTATATGCCAGCATCATTCTAGGTGTTGGAGGCAAAAAATGTCCCTACTCTCATTGAGCTGACCCTCTGGGAAATGGGATTCTGTTTTCCAAAAGTCCTTGGTGCAGGTGCTCACTGGGTTCTAGGAGCAGGGCTGGGTCCAGGAGACACCAAGATGACAAGTCTATACTCTCTTCCCATGCCTGCCTGGAGAGTGTGTTGTCCTGTGCTGTACCCAAGGGCTGCTTTGTGTTGTGAGGTATCAATTTGGGGCCAGGGTGGCTTCTTCAGGATCTTTGGCCCCCCTACCCATCCCAGGCTCGGCCTTACAGAGCAGCAAGTATATCAAGGTCACACATTAGTCTCCATTCTCCCCACTTTCTCCTTCCCCTCTTCTCCTTCATTAAGAGATGTCATTGGTCTCCTGATTATGGTCCTCCTTAGAAAGGTGTGTTCCAGGCTCCAGTTGGGGCTTCATTAAATCTTATCTCCTCCGCTCTGCTTCCCTTGGTCTTTCTCCATATCTGTGTGTCTCCTATACATCTTTTTGTCTGTATCTCTCTTGCGCCCCTTCTGTTTTATTAGCCTCTCTTTTTCTTGGTCCATCTTCCTTGTCTCCCCTCCACCCTCCCATTTTTTTTTTAATTTAAAAAATTTTTTTTATTAACATATAATGTATTTTTAGCCCCAGGGGTACAAGTCTGTGAATCACCGGGTTTACACACTTCACAGCACTCACCATAGCACAAACCCTCCCCAATGTCCACAACCCCACTACCCTCTCCCAACCCTCCTCTCCCCAGCAACCCTCAGTTTGTTTTGTGATATTAAGAGTCTCTTATGGTTTGTCTCCCTCCCAATCCCATCTTGTTTCATTTATTCTTTTCCTACCCCCCAGACTCCCTACATTGCATCTCCACTTCCTCATATCACACCCTCCCATTTTTAAGACTAGCAGCTTGTTCCTTTGACCTTAGAGTATAGGAATTTGGGGTTTAGGACCCAGTTATTCCTGCATCTGAGGCTCGGCCCTGCTCCTGCTGGGAGGAGACAGGCAGGTCTGGGGCAGTCCTGAGCCTTTGCTTCTTTATGTTTCCTGAGCCTGTTTGTTCATGGCTCTTTTCATCTTCTCCTCACCCAGGGTATTTGTCTTATCGGGCTCCATGACCTTATAAAATTGGGGATTAGACTGCTATACCATTCTAGAGTTGGAAGGAGCTGAGAAACTTTTCAGTCTGCTCCTTTCTTCTGCACATGAAGTGAGGACAGCCTACGGAGGCAGCGGACTTGCCCGAAGGTCCCAGCCAGTCATGGCCAGTGGCTGCACCATTGCTAGAACTCAGACCTGCTGGAGTCCGAGAGCCTGTGGCAAGATGTAGGGTCTATGCACACTTGTCTAGTATACTCGATGCACATTTATTAGGCACCTGCAGAATACTATGTGCTGTGTCCAGAGCTCTTAGAGTGAAAACGAAGATTTTTAAAAAGTGCAAGCTATGAGAGGGAGGGAGGAGAAAATTAACTTCAGGAGTAGTTTATCATGTCTTGTGCTTCTCCACTTTCCAAATGGATTTACTATGGAGTTCCTGCAAGTGGATCTCTTGCACAACTTCAGTAAAAAATGAATTAAAATGTAAGAACAACTTGTTCTACCTTCCAAACCAGATTGCTTGTAATCTCCCTCCACACTTTCACACACCCCTTTCTTGCTATGTGGTGCTTCCTCTATCCTTAACATGCTCCCCACCTGTCTTAGCTTCAGTAAGAAGTGGGGGCATCTAACACAGAAGGCTCATGAGGGGTCTCCGAGAGATGCCCCCACCCTGGGCTTCCACAGCCCACTATAGACACTTCTACCATAGAGCATTTGTCACTATACCTCTGGTACTAGACTATTCTATGGAAGACAGAGACTGACTTTTTTTTAATTTATTTTTTTATTAACATATAATGTATTATTAGCCTGAGGGGTACAGGTCTGTGAGTTGTCAGGCTTACACACTTCACAGCACTCACCATAGCACATACCCTCCCCAATGTCCATAATCCAACCACCCTCTCCCTACCTCCCTCCCCCCAGCAGCCCTCAGTTTGTTTTGTGAGATTAAGAGTTTCTTATGGTTTGTCTTCCTCCTGATCCCATCTTGTTTCATTTTTCTCTTCCCTACCCTGAACTCCCCACTTTGCCTCTCAAATTCCTCATATCAGTGAGATCATATGATAATTCTCTTTCTCTGATTGACTTATTTCACTCAGCATAATACTCTTTAGTTCCATCCATGTTGTTGCAAATGGCAAGATTTCATTTCTTTTGATGGCTGCATAGTATTCCATTATATGTATATACCACATCTTCTTTATCCATTCATCTGTTGATGGACATCTAGGTTCTTTCCATGGTTCAGCTATTGTGGACATTGCTGCTATAAAAATTCGGGTGCACGTGCCCCTTCGGATTACTACATTTGTATCTTTAGGCTAAATACCCAGTAGTGGAATTGCTGGGTCCTAGGGTAGCTCTATTTTCAACTTTTTGAGGAACCTCCATGCTATTTTTCAGAATGGCTGCACCAGCTTGCATTCCCACCAACAGTGTAGGAGGGTTCCCCTTTCTCCGCATCCTCGCCAGCATCTGTTGTTTCCTGACTTGTTAATTTTAGCCATTCTGACTGGCGTGAGGTGGTATCTCATTGTGGTTTTGATTTGTATTTCCCTGATGCTGAGTGATGTGGAGTACTTTTTCATAGTCTGTTGGCCATCTGGATGTCTTCTTTGCATAAATGTCTGTTCATGTCCTCTGCCCATTTCTTGATTAGATTACTTGTTCTTCAGGTGTTGAGTTTGATAAGTTCTTTTTTTTTTTTTTTAATATTTTATTTATTTATTTGACAGAGATCACAAGTAGGCAGAGAGACAGGCAGAGAGGGAGGAGGAAGCAGGCTCCCCGCTGAGCAGAGAGCCCGATGCGGGGCTCGATCCCAGGACCCTGAGATCATGACCTGAGCCGAAGGCAGAGGCTTAACCCACTGAGCCACCCAGGCGCCCCAAGTTTGATAAGTTCTTTATATATTTTGGATACTAGCCCTTTATCTGGTATGTCATTTGCAAATATCTTCTCCCATTCTGTCAGTTGTCTTTTGGTTTTGTTGACTGTTTCCTTTGCTGTCCAAAAGCTTTTGATCTTGATGAAGTCCTAATATTTCATTTTTGCCTTTGCTTCCCTTGCCTTTGGTGATGTGTCTAGGAAGAAGTTACTGTAATTGAGGTTGAAGAGGTTGCTGCCTATGTTCTCCTCAAGATTTTGATGAATTCTTTTCTCACATTGAGGTCTTTCATCCATTTTGAGTCTATTTTTATGTGTGTTGTAAGGAAATGGCCCAGTTTCATTTTCCTGCATGTGGCTGTTAAATTTTCCCAACACCATTTGTTGAAGAGACTGTCTTTTTTCCATTAGACATTCTTTCCTACTTTGTCAAAGATTAGTTGAGCATAGAGTTGAGGGTCTATTTCTGGGCTCTCTATTCTGTTCCATTGATCTATATGTCTGTTTTTGTACTAGTACCATACTACCTTGATGATGACAGCTTTGTAATAGAGCTTGAAGTCTGGAATTGTTATGCCACCCACTTTGGATTTTTCTTTCTTTCTTTTTTTTTTTTTTAATTTATTTATTTTTTTATTTGACAGAGATCACAATTAGACAGAGAGGCGGGCAGAGAGAGAGGAGGAAGCAGGCTCCCTGGTGAGCAGAGAGCCCATGTGGGGCTCAATCCCAGGACCCTGGGATCATGACCCGAACTGAAGGCAGAGGCTTTAACCCACTGAGCCACCCACTGAGCAACCCACCCAAGCCACCGCTTGGCTTTCTTTTTCAACATTCATCTGGTTATTCGAGGTCTTTTCTTGTTCCATATAAATTTTAGGATTATTTTGTTCCATTTCTTGGGAAAAAAATTGATGGAAATTTGATAGGGATTGCATTAAATGTGTAGATTGCTTTAGGTAGCATAGACATTTTCACAATATTTGTTCTTCCAATCCATGAGCATGGAACATTTTTCCATTTCTTTGTGTCGTCCTCAATTTCTTTCATGAGTACTTTATAGTTTTCTGAGTACAGATTCTTTGCCTCTTTGGTTAGGTTTATTCCTAGGTATCTTATGGTTTTGGGTGCAATTGTAAATGGGATTGACTCCTGAATTACAGAGACTGACTTTTTGCTCAGTACTTTCAGGGCTGAGAACAGTGGTTGGCATGTAGTAGACACTCATTTAATACATATGGGATGGATAAATGATGAGCTGGCAGAGGCAGAAAAGTGTATATTTGATGATGCATTTGTTTTTAGTTCTGTGATCCCCTTCCCAAGGTCAGAAGATAGAATTGGGGGTCTTCCATCATGAAGAGTTAACACATAGTCATGTGAAATCACAAAGACCAAATCAAGGCAGCTTTCCCACTGATCTAAAATTTGAATTTTGTGAAACGAAATTGTGAAGCTTGAGTAGATAGAGCTGAGGGATACAGGGCAAAGTCCAGGTCAGCTGACAGACAGGTGGTTTGTCAGCAAGGTTCTGCAAGAAAAGGCAAGTTTTTGTGCAGATTTGAAAGCAGGAAATTAGCAGAAGGCAGGTGAAGGGGAATGTCCAAATAAGACAGGGACAGGAAGAAGCAGGGTGTATGTAATGTGCAGAAGCAGAGTCACTGGCTGAAGGACAGGGCTAGATCTTCAATCAACGTTAATATTTACTCAACTCTCATTGTTTTTGCCCATCCTGGGAAAGGATTGAGGCTTTCCCTTGGCACCTGAGGGCTGGGCCAAAGGCCCTGTGCTCTGAGTTCTGCCAGAGCTACAGCTACACCAAGCCCTCCTGAGTCTCTCCATAACCCACGGCTTTGGGAATCTCTCTCCCTCTTTTAGTGAAGTTACTATTCACAGAGTGCCTACCTTGTACCAAGGAACTGCACCAAATGCTTTATATCAGTGCTTCTCAATCTGAGAGAAAAAAATAAGTTTTTTTTTAAAAAATTCCAAACTCTCAAAAACCAATACTTTTGTAAAATACAATAAGAATGGTATTAGAAAGTAAAATTAAAAAAAAAAACAGATGTATAAAGTATAAGCACAGATTTTTATCAGGTTCAACAGACTTAAAATTATATTTTATTAAGAAGCAAAGAGGGAACAGATACAACAGGAAAAAAAAAGAATTTATTTTTAATTATCTATTTTGTTCATGGAAAGTGCACATACCCATGTGATTTCTGCCTGTGTCACTGGCCGGTCATGAGAGTCAGTGTTCATTATCTACATTTTTACCATGGAAGAAATGGAAGCCTGGAGAGATTTTGTAACTTCCTGGAAGTTATCCCTATCTGGGTGGGGCTGGAGAGTGAATCTGCTGACAGCGAATGAAGCTCAGGAACTCAGGCCATGGGCCCATCTTGCCAGGTGGTCCATACAGTCTTTCTTCTTCTTCCAGGAGCAGGAGGACCCCAACAAATTGGCGACCAGCTGGCCTGACTATTACATTGACCGCATCAACTCTATGGCGGCGGTGAGCAATGGCTCCTCCCCTGCCCCCGCCCCACCTGGAAAAGCCAATGGGGAGAGTGATCCTCTGGCATCTTTCCCTGCCCTTCACACCCCACTCACTGGGGATCAGTAGGTTTCCAGTTACTTTTTTAATCATAATTCCTCCCTTCTCTGTGTGACTCAGGAGGTCCCCAGGCATTTAAACACTTATTAACCATTGGTATATCACACAGTCTTGGAAAATAGGCTGAGCCAATAATTCTCCCCATTCCACAGATGAGGAAAGTGAAGTCTGGGATTGGAACCTGGGTCTTCTCAGAATCTGACCCTCTTAGGAAACCATTCCTTGAGGCCCCACCCTTTCTGAGTCGATGGTGGCTCCTGGGTCACACCTGGGCTCTGGGGGGTGCAGGCAGCTGGGAATCAGGCAGCCCAGCAGGACCTCTACCCCTTTCCACCTACCTCAGATGCAGAGTCTGTATGCCTTTGATGAGGAAGAGACGGAGATGAGGAACCAAATTGTGGAAGACCTGAAGACAGCTCTCCGGACACAACCCATGAGGTGACTCATGTTTCCCCTTCCTACTTCCTTCCACACCCCTTCACTTGGTGGTCCCCCACAATTTCCTGAAGTTTAACCCAAAGCTCTGTTCCCATCCCAGGCCCCTTGCCATCTCCACAGCCTCCACCCACCTCCCCACCGCCGGCGTCTCCTAGAGCTCTCTGCACTCTGTTCCACTTCCTGCTTCCTACAACCCCTCTCTCTGAAGAGCTGGGAGGCTGCCAGAGGAAGGGCATGTGGGGGACCAGGGTAGAGGGCAGAGGAGTGTGGCATAAACCTCAGGTCCTGAAGAGCTATCTGAGCAGAAATTGAGGGCAGGTTCTTGTTTTTCTCGAGAGAACAGAGTGGGAGAGAAGGAGGTCTTATGTACAAAGTATGTAAGAAAGAGCCCCAAGAACCAGTGTCCCTACCATGGAGGAGGGCAGTGTGGGCGATAGAGACTCTAGCCACTAGGGGGAGATGTGGTGTCTGTGGACCAGATTCCACCACCTAGAGTGATGCAGGCTGGGCAAAGGGGATGAGTTTGAGAAGGACCCTTCCCCTTTCCCAGGCCATACTGCGCAAACGTCCAAAGTGGGCCAAGAGCCACAGCTTCTTCTCGTGCCTGAGAGCTTGTAGTTGCTCATGGGAGCCGACTGTTAAGTTTTCAGCAGTTTTGCAAGCTGTTTTTTAAACATGGCTATGATTAGAATATAAGTGGCATAAACTTAAAACTAAATAAATCATACCAAAAACGAAAGTAATAAATACTTGAAACTTTTCACTTCCTAATTACCTAATGATCTTACTACATTTTAGTTTTATGTATGCTCTCGACTGTTATATATGCTCTTGAGTTTATATTCGTTGTGTATGCCTGGTGGAAATACAGCCAACACTGAACAAGGAGGGTGTTAGGGGTGCCAAGCCCCATGCAGTCGAAAATCTGCATATAACTTCTGACTCTCCCAAGACTTAACTACTAACCATCTACTGTTGACCAGCAGCCTTACTGATAATATAAACAGTTGATTCGTACCTATTTTATATGTTACATGTATCTTATATTCTTACAACAAGGGAAGCTAGAGAAAAGAAACTGTTAAGAGAATCATAAGGAAAATGTAACCATAGTATTGTACTGTGCTTACTGAAAAACTTCCCATATAAGTGGACCTATACAATTCAAACCTGTGTTATTCAAGGACCAACTGTGCTATAAATGTTGCATCTCTTCCCAACTCCGTGTTCAATGTTGTCACATTGATAGCTTGAAATCAGCTATGCTGGGGATATGTATACTGTGGAAATTGGCAAACACTATCATCAGGCCTTTTTTTCTTTCTTCAGAGAGCCAGTTGTTAAATGTTTTTACCAGCATACTGGTCTACGTGTGTATGTGTGTGTGTGTGCGTGTCTGTGGTTTGGGCTGAGTTCTCTACTTTCTCTACTTTGGGAGCCTGGAACTAGAGCCTCAGGAGAATGGGAGCATCTTAATCCTGCATGGTTCCAGGGGTGGGGTGCTTGTAGGAAGGGGGTGCAGGAAGGATGAGGACATCGAGAAAGAGAGAGGTTGAGGGAGGTTTGCCAGGTTTCTCTCCCACTTCAGTTTACTGTTCTTTCCCTTAATAAAATTCTGACAGTCATGGTGGACAGTCATGGTAGAAATTCCCAGAATATAGAAAAGTATATAATAGAAACAAATAATACCTATTTCAATGACTTAATTTGAGAGTATATTTCATTTTGTAGAGAGATTTATATAATAGTGTGGAAATACACAAATACACTTGGGACCAAATGTATTAACTATATGCAACAGTTCCCTCAGCTCCATTTATGACATTTCCTTGGATCGTTACTGTTTTATGAAATCGAGTGTTCTAAGCATCTTCGTGTGTATGTACATGTAAAGGCACGTGTGCCGTGGGTAACTTTGACACCAGATGAAAACTATTATCCTCTTATCAAAATGATACTTTTAAATAATAAAATAGATAAGATGAGGAATAAGCCACTTTAAGTGAAATACAGTTACCAAATATGAAACATTTGTGAGATAGTGATTAAGATGCTTCTTTATGTCTTAAGCGGCATGAGGTAGCAACCACCATGATATTGAAGTGTTGATGAGTAGAAAGGATAGTCTGAGACACCTGCAACAGCTATAATTTGATATGAAAATGGCTAATTTCTTTGGGTGACAAAGTCACAGGTTCTACTAATCCCACTATAGTTTATTGTCCATGTTCATCATAAGAGGAAAGGATACACTTCAGGTAGATAGAGGTTACCAAAAATAAAAGTATAACTTATTTTTCCCATCCACATTCACAGACCTCTGCAAGATAGCCATTGGCCCCTTAGGGGAGCACAGACTCCAGGTTAAGAACCTCTGAACTAACTCTTTTTTTTAAGTGCTTTTTGTTAATATTCAAGATAACCTAGCTATTTTCTTCAGGATCCTTTGAAGGGTGCCTTTCCCAGCTTTGGTCCTATGATTCAATGACTCTGATGGACCCCTGTTTGGAAGTCCTCTTTGTCTTCTGACTGTAATTCTCTTAATTCCCATCCTCTCTGGAGATGAATTTTCAGGTTTAACAGCCGTGATAATTATAGTAATAATTACTGCAATCATTCCCTTCATGTATATACCATCACAGCCAGGCAACTGACAGCCAATGACCTGCAAAAGCATGGGATTTAAGGTGCAAATAAGGCACAAGTCTCCTGTGAAGGGGATGGGATTTTAATGCCTTAGATAAACTCACTAAATGAACCAAGTGGCTACTGTAGGTGGGACACAGTGTTATACAGGTCCAGGAGTAACTATTTGCAAAGTGTATACAGAGTCCTATGCAAATTCAGGATACCTGTTGTGCTAATGGCGCTGGCCTGGACAGGTTCGTGACTCGCTTCATTGAGCTGGAGGGTTTGACCTGTCTGCTGAATTTCCTCCGGAGCATGGACCACGCCACCTGTGAAAGTCGTATCCACACCTCCCTCATCGGTTGCATCAAGGCTCTTATGAACAACTCCCAGGGGCGGGCGCATGTGCTGGCGCAGCCAGAGGCCATCAGCACCATTGCGCAGAGTCTGCGCACAGAGAACAGCAAGACCAAGGTGGCCGTGCTGGAGATCCTGGGTGCTGTGTGCTTGGTTCCTGGCGGCCACAAGAAGGTGCTGCAGGCCATGCTCCACTACCAGGTGTACGCAGCTGAGCGGACCCGCTTTCAGGTGAGGAGCTAGCTGAGCGCTTATATGAAGAGACATAAGGGACCTCAAGAGATATGGGTTTGGCTGGGATAATGGACCCCTCACTAGACTGTGAGTTCCTTGAGGCTGGATTCTTGGTATATGGGTCTACGTCTCTGAGCTCAGTGCTTGATGAATCACAGAGGTTGAGTCTGAAATGGACCTGAATGCAGTTGCTGGGGCCAAGATTTTAAGCCCTATACCTGGGCCAGTGCTTACTATGGGGACCCCAAGAACAGTGCTGGATACTTAAGCCATGCTATTCTCTTTTCTTCTCCCTGACCTGCCCCAGAAAAGTAATGAGATAGTAAGTATAAAGTGTCTTATGTAGAGTAAGTGTCAATAGATCTAAACTGTCACTAAAAATGCTATGGTTTATCTATCTGTATAGGCTATTTGTATATTCTGTCATCAAAGGTTTTTAAGCACTTACTCTGTGTGGAAAGTGGCCCCGACCCTTTGCCAAAGAGGTGTAAAAGGCAGTGTCCATGCTGTCAGGGAGCTGGGTAGGAAGATTTATGAGCTGTAAGCAGCTGGAACTGTAAACAGCTCTAATGTGCTGAAGTAGCATTTTGGCACAGCCCTACAAAATAAACTAAGCTCTGGGGGCGCCTGGGTGGCTCAGTGGGTTAAAGCCTCTGCCTTCAGCTCAGGTCATGATCTCAGGGTCCTGGGATCGAGCCCCGCATCGGGCTCTCTGCTCGGCAGGGAGCCTGTTTCCCCCTCTCCCTCTGCCTGCTTCTCTGCCTACTTGTGGTCTGTCTCTGTCAAAGAAATAAATAAAATCTTAAGAAAAAAAAACAAAACTGAGCTCTCGAGGTGAGTGGCAGGACTGAGACTGAGGCGTGGAGAGGCAAAGGACGCTTCTTGGAAAAGCTGCACTTTCAGGAAGGCCCAGGGTAAGCTAGATTGATTGGGGATAGCAAGCAAGTGGGGCATGCTAGGCGGTTAGAATCCACAGGCACAAAGGCTGGACTTGTAGGATCCTGAGCCTGCCTTTTCTCTCCTGTCCTGCCTTTCCATCCAGACACTGCTGAATGAGCTAGACCGAAGTTTGGGCCGGTACCGGGATGAAGTGAATCTGAAAACAGCTATCATGTCCTTCATCAATGCTGTCCTCAATGCTGGAGCTGGAGAGGTTAGGCATCTTCTCCTTGCCCTTACTGTTCCTGGACTTTCTGGCCCCAGGGGAGTGTGTGCAAGTGTCTTCTGGGGATGTAGCAGAGGGATGGGGCCAAGCCCTCCAGTTGGTGGGGCTGTCACTACCATCACTGTCTTCAGACTACCTTTATCAACCCTTGCCTCTTTCACTTGGGGCTGAGAAAGAATGGATTATCATGAACCTTGCTGTCATGAGGGGTTCTTGAGGAGTTTCTTGCATGGGTAGCATTGTGCATTAGGTGTGTCCTGGACAAAACCTAAGTTGGCTGGCTGATGCTTGCTTAGGATGGTGGGGGATCATTTATGGGAGGAGGGCAAATGTAGGCCCTTCTTTCTAGAGTTTTCCAAAGACCTGCTTCTGGACTAGGTCTGAGCTAGTCCAGACCTTCTTCTTTTTTTTTTTTTTAATTTATTTTATTTTATTTTTTAATTTTCAGCATAACAGTATTCCTTGTTTTTGCACCACACCCAGTGCTCCATGCAATCCGTGCCCTCTCTAATACCCACCACCTGGTTCCCCCAACCTCCCGCCTCGCACTGCTTCAAACCCCTCAAGATTGTTGAACCGCTTCTGAGTTGGCTGGTCATGCCCTCTATCACCTTCTGTTAGGAGATATGGCTTCTGATTTTCCTTACTATGGGATCAGAATAGGATCTCAGACTAAAAATAGCAACAGTTGAAGAAGAACTTGAAGAGCAGATTAACTCCCCAAATTCTAAGGGAATCAGATGCTCCAATCAAGGTCAGTTTGTTGAAGGTCAAGGGGGAAATTTAATGATCTCTACATTTCCTTCTTTTCTGCCAGCACACTTTTCTTGCAACCAGCCCTGATGAGCTAAGTTAGGTGAGGTGGGTGGGAAATGTCCCTGAGATGCTGATGTCACCCTTGTCAATACTAGCTATACTAATCCATTCTGATTAGATGGTAACCATACATCATCAGGTAATGTAATATCATCCTGTTGGTAATCTCATTGCCATTTTACAGATGAGAAAACTAAGGTTTTCCCCAAATGACAAAACTAGTGAGTGTCAGAGCAGGGATTTAAACAAAGATCTGTCCGAAATCAAAGCTTATGTTCTACATTATGGTGCCACTCTTGGATGCCAAAGGCTGAGAAAACTGGTAAAGGACTTAAAGGAAGTGAGGCAGGACACCTAATGGGAGTAAATAACAAGGTCAAGTGTGTCTCCTCCTGCCCTTTCTTGGAACTCTGGACCCGAGGCAGTTCCAGATGGGTTGTTGCAGGTGATGTAGTGGGACAATGACTGGAGTGGGTCTGCTGGGGACTCTTGTGGAAGAGCCACAAGCCAATGAGTCTGGTCCTGCTTTGGTGACCCCCAGGATAATCTGGAGTTCCGCCTTCATCTACGGTATGAGTTCCTGATGCTGGGGATCCAACCTGTGATTGACAAACTCCGGCAGCATGAGAATGCCATCCTGGACAAGTAAGACCCACCTGTCCCCACTGCAGTCATATGGGGACAGTGCCTCAGTTGGGGATGATCAGGACTTTCAAGGAGGCTGCCCTTCCTACTGGAAACCACCTGCCATACACAGTATCAATTCAAAATCAGTTCTGTGTGGGGAAGGTGGATAACTCTCACCCCCATGTCCCACATCCTACCTATGTCCCTCCCTGCTCTCTTGGCTGACCTACTTTCTCATTTCCAATGTTATAGGCAGGTGGACCCAGTAGTCCTCAATCATGGCAGTACTTCCCCAGGGTGGGTGTGGGAGCATTTGGAAACACATGGTGGTATTCCTTTGGCTTTCAGACTGGCTGGTTGGGGGACACTAACTGATATTGATTGTTGGAAACCAGGAATACTAAACATCCTGCAGGGCACTCCTGCTTAGCAAGGGAATTGCTCCACTCCAAATGGAAGCCATAAAAGCCTTCATTGATAAAAGGGCACAATTAAATTCCTATGTGTTCCTTAATTCCAATTAAGTTCCTTTCTGTCTCTTCTGGTTCTGTCCCATTGGTAGACTATTTTATTGCACTGAGTCTTAAGGGAGACAGGATGGGCCCTTTTGAAATGGAGTTGGGGAATGGATGGGGTGAAAAATGACAGACCCATAAACTGGCTTCGTAGGTTGACATATGGACAGTATGAGAATCCTGGTGGAGGCAGAACAGTACTCCTTGACTGGGTGATTTTATCCCAAGGGACAGTTGGCTAAGTCTGGAGACGTTTTTGTTGTCACAGCTTGAAAGGTGGGGGCTGCTACTGGTGTCTGGTGGGTAGAGATCAGAAATGCTGCTGAACCTTCTACATTGCACAGATCAGCCTCCCACAACCAAGGCAAATCTAGCCCTGGGTATCAATAATGACAAAATTGAGAAAGGCTGATCTAAGGGGACAGGCCTCTATGCTAGCCTCCCTGAGGAGGGGGCATGGGGTTCTATAAAGGAGGAGAGCACTGGCCTACAGACAGGTGGCTTCCTTATGATTTTGCCTTGGCCTCACCGGAATAAAGCTTTCAGATTTAGTTCACTGGGGAGTTAAAGGGGTTGACCCTCAAATAGGGACATCCTCAAAGTAATATCTACTCTCTCTATCCCCTCATCCTATCTAGGCATTTAGACTTCTTTGAGATGGTGCGGAATGAGGATGACTTGGAGCTAGCCAGGAGGTTTGACATGGTGAGAAGCCTACAGGGATGGGGCTACAGCAGTGGGGTCCCAGGTGGCCCCACAGACTCTTCTCCAGATCCCATGATGTGGTAGGTCCAGTGTTGGCTGGCTTCCCTGGTGAGTGGCCCTATAGCCAGGTCCTGCTTCTGGAGCCTGGCAGTGTGTTGACTCTGAGAGGCCTCACCTGGCAGGCCTTACCTACCAAGGGCATCTCCTTTGCTGGGAGATTGCAACCCCCAAAGGAAAGAGGGCCTGTTCTTACATGTGATAGTCTCTAATTCTCTCCAGGCTACTCTTCCCCTGCCTTTCAGCAATTTCCTGAGTCCCCTCTCCCCGTCACTAACCAGATCATGCTTCACAAACCAGATTGTCTTTTCATTTCAATCTCAATAACCCTGAAAATACACAATTCTGCTACTTAAATATTGTATTATAAAATCTCCACTCAAATAGAAACCTACATCTAGTGGCGCTCCAGTCACCCATCACCGTCCAATTATATTGTCACATAAACCTTGGATTTATAACAAGGAGACTGAGATTAGTTTGCCTTGTCACACAATGAGAGTAGATCTGGGATTTGAACCCAGGTTGCATGAAACTATGCTACGTGGTCCTTGAATTACCTATGTCCCTGTCCCCTTCCCTTAGTTTGAATTAGTAGCTCTCAACCAGCAGTGTCTTTGCTTCCTCCTTCCCCTGTGGACATTTGCAATGCCTGGAGACAATTTTTGTTGTCACAACTGGTGTAAGGAGAATGTCACTGGCATCTGATAGGTATGGACCAAGGATGGTATGGAACAGCCTATAGTGAATAGGACAGATCCTTATGCTGAAGAACGATCTGGTTCAAGATGCCAATAGTGCTGAAATGGAGAAATCCTGCTTCATGGAATTAGGACATCTCCCTCTGCCTTTTCTCTGTGCCTCTCTTTTGAAGCCTGGCCAGAAGCAGGAGAAGGAACATCATCCTGGGAAATGGGGCTCCATGGATGGAAGTAGGGTTTTCTCCCCTCTTCTTCCATGGCTTGCCCCTCCCTGTTCACTGTGCCCTCCACTCCCTCAGGTCCACATTGATACCAAGAGTGCTTCCCAGATGTTTGAGCTGATCCACAAGAAGCTAAAGCACACTGAGGCCTACCCCTGCTTGCTGTCTGTTTTACACCACTGTCTGCAGATGCCCTGTGAGTACCCTACATGTACCTCTTCCTCAGCCGGGCTGAACGTTGGCCTGGGGCAGGTTGAGACAATGTGTCAGGACTTCCCTGAGTTGGTGAATCTGGCTGGGTCTCCCTTGGCACATGTCCCCAGGAGGTCTGGCCACAGGATGCAGGCCCTTGTTCTTCCCTCCCTCTTTGGGGTCAGGACTTCCACTGTCACCCAGGTGAGCAGCTGGGGACTTGGGCCTGAACAACAATGTTCTGGTCTACCAAGAAGAAGCTTGATTATTGTAAAATCAAACAGAGCTGGATGTCAGCTTATGACAGGAGAGTTATCAGGCCTCTTGGGGGGCTCCAAAAAGCAGCTTTGTGTTTGGGGGACTAGCACAGATCCAGACTGAGCATGCCTTTTTCCAAGGTTTTATCAACTCCTCCATCCAGGTCTTGTGAGCTCCACTTTAATACACTTTCCCCTGCCTCTCTTTGCAAATACTGGATGTCAGCATATAAGCTTAGCAGATGCTAAGCTTTTTAAGATCGAGGTGTGCACAGTGACTGAATAAATTACATATAATCACTAATAGCCACCCCAGCATGCAATTTGAAATGAACTGTAACTATACCACTTGGTATTTAAGCTCTTCACAAAACCACAAATTTGGAAGACTAGTATGGCCAACCAAGATGGTCAACCTGGGCAGACTCTCTACTGGTGGTGATGGTGGCATTTGTTTTCGTGGTGATGGTGGCAATGACTATAGTTTACTATGTGCCAATGCTGGGCCATGCATGATGCAAGGCTCTTTGGCACAGTGTCTCTAAACCTCAAAATGATTTAAGGGGTGTGCATTATTATACCTGATTTATAGTGGATGAACTTGAGGCTTGGTGATTCTGTACATATGAAGAAATTTTTGTTTCTTTGGGGTTATGGCTTTAGATGAAACCTGTTCTACTTCTGTGAGCCAGTGACCTGGCTTTACCCTGTATTCCTGGGTGAAGGGTAAATGGAAAACTATGCCACATTGCAGTGCCTGTGTCAGTGAAGTATTGGAAAAGAAACCGGACACAGTGACCTAGACCAGGAACCTTTCAGTTCTAAAGCTCAGTCCAGAGACCTTCACAAAAGATGTAGGAAGTGCCTGAGAAACCCAACTTCTCCTCTCTCAGGTTCTCTTTGTGGTACTCCATGGGTAATATCAATGGGTGTCTTCCTTCAAAATGGGGCTTTGCAGACAACCTTCCACCTTTAAGCATTATGGTTTGACTCTGAAATCAGCATTATGTTGGCTGACCTCCTTTGGTTGGTCAAAGTACTTGGGATCAAGATGAGGAAGAGGGGCTTGTGGTGAGCCATGAAAAGAAAACCCATGTCCCACCAAACCATGACTACAGAGGATAGGAGTGGAGCCCTGTGAGGTCAGTCGTCACACACAATCCTTTGCCTTCACAGTTCTGGGTCACCTTCACCAAGAAATCAGCCTGGATTCCATTAGCACTTCTCCAACCCATTCTGACTCTCTCTCTTTCTTAGTGCATACCTGTAGTGAGTTTCCATTCATCTTTCACCATAGAACAACAGCCTAGATAATCCTAAAATCTTTTCTTTTTTTAAATTTCCCTGGAGACTTCATTATTTAGCAGGTAATATTTTGGAGCAGATTTACTTTCTGAAAGGTGCTTTTTTTTAGATAATGGAAAAGACAATTTGTATTCCCAAGGCATAGGCTATTCAGGGTGCCTACAGGGAACAAAGACAGCCAAGAAGCACTTCAGGAAGTAGAGAAATCTATCTAGAGGATTGACACACTCATGGAAAGTCAGTTGCAGATCATCAAGAAATGGCTGCATTTGCGAATCTCCATCATCACCATCAGCATCAGTAGCATCATTGCCTCTTCCATCAGACTGGGAGCTTTCCAAGGGTGGGAGAGGGCATGTTTCATCAGCCTGTGCCCATGCCATGACTCTAGGGCAGGGCCCCAGGGTGTTCCAGGGCTCAGTAAGGTTATGATGCCTGTTGTCCTTGCAGACAAGCGGAACGGTGGCTACTTCCAGCAGTGGCAGCTCCTGGACCGAATCCTTCAGCAGATTGTCCTCCAGGATGAGAGGGGTGTGGACCCTGACCTGGCTCCCCTGGAGAACTTCAACGTCAAGAACATTGTCAACATGTGAGCAGTGGCCAGCTCTCACCTGTCTTCCTCCTCCTTCCTCTCTCCTCTCTCTCTCTCTCTCTCTCTCTCTCGTAAACCAGATGCCTCCAAATGCACCTGAAGGAACATGCCCAGTAGAATTCTCTGATATGATGGAAATGTTCCATATCTGCCCTGTTCAAACCTGGCTGCTGAGCACTTGACCTGTGGATAGTGTAACTGAGGAGCTGAATTTAAAATTTTATTTCATTTAAATTCAGATAGCCATATGACGTGGCTAGGGACGATCATATCGAAAAACACAGGTTTATAGGGGATGTAGTCAGCTTTTTTTTCTCATTTTTTAAAATTTAATTTCTTTTCAGTATAACAGAATTCATTGTTTATGCTCCATGCATACGTGCTCCAATACATGGAGCACACACAGTGCTCCATGCAATACGTGCCCTCCATAATAACCCACCACCAGGCTCACGCAACCTCCCACCCCGCCGCCCCTTCAAAATCCTCAGATTGTTTTTCAGAGTCCATAGTCTCTCATGGTTCATCTCCCCCTCCAATTTCCCTCAACTCCCTTCTCCTCTCCATCTCCCCATGTCCTCTGTGTTATTTCTTATGTTCCACAAATAAGTGAAACCATATGATAATTGACTCTCTGCTTTACTTATTTCACTCAGCATAATCTGTACCAGTCCCATCCATGTTGATAGAAAAGTTGGGTGTTCATCCTTTCTGATGGAAGCATAATACTCCATAGTGTATATGGACCACATCTTCCTTATCCATTCGTCCGTTGGAGGGCATCTTGGTTCTTTCCACAGTTTGGCAACCATGGCCATTGCTGCCATGAACATTGGGGTGCAGATGGCCCTTCTTTTCACTACATCTGTATCTTTGGGGTAAATACCCAGTAGTGTAATTGCAAGGTCATAGGGAAGCTCTATTTTTGATTTCTTAAGGAATCTCCACACTGTTCTCCAAATTGGCTGCACCAACTTACATTCCCACCAACAGTGTAAAAGGGTTCCCCTTTCTCCACATTCTCTCCAACACACGATGTTTCCTGTCTTGCTAATTTTGGCCATTCTAACTGGTGTCAAGTGGTATCTCAATGTGGTTTTGATTTGAATCTCCCTGATGGCTAGTGATGATGAACATTTTTTCATGTGTCTGATAGCCATTTGTATGTCTTCATTGGAGAAGTGTCTGCTCGTGCCTTCTGCCCATTTTTTGACATGATTATCTGTTTTGTGTGTGTTGAGTTTGAGAAGTGCTCTATAGATCCTAGATATCAGCCTTTTGTCTGTACTGTCATTATAGTCAGCTTTTTTTTTTTTTAAATTATTGTTTGAGAGAGAGAGAGAGATCATGAGAGAGCACAAACTTGGGTAGGGAGGAGAGCCAGAGGGAGCAGCAGACTTTCCACTGAGCAGGGAGCCTGATGTGGGGCTTGATCCCAGGACTCTGGCCTGACCTGAGCCAAAGGCAGACACTTAACCAGCCGAGCCACCCAGGTGCCCTTGTACTCAGCTTTTAATGATTCATTGCATGGAGTGGATAGAGGAAGAATTTAAACTTATTAACAATGGTCTGTGAGATAACCAATCCTCCAGTTTGCTTTTGCATGACCCATGAGCTAAGAATAGTTTTTACATTTTAAAGTGTTTATGCTGAGTGAAATAAATCAAGCAGAGAGAGTCAATTATCATATGGTTTCACTTATTTGTGGAGCATAACAAATAACATGGAGGACAAGGGGAGTTAGAGAGGAGAAGGGAGTTGGGGGAAATTGGAAGGGGAGGTGAACCATGAGAGACTATGGACTCTGAAAAACAATCTGAGGGGTTTGAAGGGTTGGGGGGATGGGAGGTTGGGGGAACCAGGTGGTGGGTATTAGAGAGGGCACGGATTGCATGGAGCATTGGGTGTGGTGCAAAAACAAGGAATACTGTTATGCTGAAAAAAAAATAATGCTTTTTTACTTCTAAGTGAAAAAAAATAATGCTTTTATACTTCTAAGTGAAAAAAAAAGTGTTTTTAAAAACAAATGAGAATATGTGACAGAGACTGTACCTGCTTTATAAAACCTAAAATATTTATTCTAACCCTTTAGGGAAAGTTTGCCAATCACTGAAATAGAGCATGGCAATTTAACTAAGGCTGTTGGATAAGGATGTCAGAGCCTAAGTTCTTCTGGCTTATCTTTGACCCTGTGTACTGAGAAACACAGAACCAAGTTTAGTCACATCAAGTAGTAATCAGATGTTATGCTAACATACTAATTTTTAATTTTAAACTTTTACTTGACCTTATTTTTTCAAGTTTTTATTTTAATTTCCAGTTAGTTAACATATAGTGTTATTTTAGTTTCAGGCGTGCAATGTCGTGATTCAACATTTCCATATATCAACCCGTGCTCATCATGACAAGTACCTTCCTTAATCCCCATCATCTGCTTCATCCATCCCTCTGCCCCCTCCCCTCTGGGAACCATCAGTTTGTCCTCTATAGTTAAGAGTCAGTTTCTTGATTTGTCTTTTTTTCTCTTTTTTCCCCTTTTCTCATTTGATTTGTTTCTTAAATTCCATCTATCTGTGAAATCATACGGGTTTGTCTTTCTCTGACTGATTTGTTTTACTTAGCATGATACCCTCTAGCTCGTCCATATCATTGCAAATGGCAAGATTTCATCCTTTTTAATGGCTGCATAATATTCCACCATTTAAATGCACCACATCTTCTTATCCAATAACCAATTGATGGACACTTGGGCTTCTTTCAAATCTTGGATTTTTCAAATAATGTTGCTGTTAGTGAAAGTCTGATCCAGTTGCCCTTTAAGGAGATAAATTGGCTCTCAATTTGGTCATATACCAAAGCCAAGTAGATAATGATTTTGGAACTATTCCTGCTATTGTTTTCATTTTACAGGTAGTTGGGTATTGATGTGGTTAATCCTACCTGGTATGCTGGACAAGTACAAATAGAAAAGTAATCAAAATGCAACTTTATTTCTGATTTTTATTTTTGTTTTCTACCATTTCTTTGCACTATTTAGTGGGGAAGCTTTTCCTCTGCCCTCAGATCCAATGAAGTTTTTGCTTCTTCTTGCACAATGGAAGTCTTAAGATCATTTTAAACAGTCTCAAATCTGCAACTAGAAGAACTAGTCCCAGATGTGAACTATGTAAATTCTAGATTAGATTTAGCCTTCACTCTCTCTCTTCCCCGGACTGGGGCTGGAAGTTGCAGTGGGAAGGGCATGTGTAATGATTGGCTTTCTTTCTCTGTTCTGTTTTTCTTCTAACCCATTGTACACACATACCCCCTTCTATTAGCTAACCAGTTTTTAACCCCTATCACAGTGCAGGGGAAGGAAGGAGAAGAGGAATAGATCTTACTTGATCAGGTAACTTAGTAAACAGGCTTCCTATTCTCTGGCCTTGGCACATGGGTGAAGACATGGATTATTTCTGGGATCTTCTGAAGCTCTTTGGCGCATGCATCTCACTATAAAACCCTGGCCACTGGCCATTTAAGGCCTTTTTATCCCCTGGGACTGGGTGGTACCATCCCTTCCATCAGCCCGATTCACTAGCAATCTAGTACACAATGGCACAATGTTCAAGTGTCCACTTCTCTGCTAGGTGGACATCTTGAACAGGACTTAAAATGGCATCAGCCCAATTTCTCCATGATGCTTGCATGAGAAATCCTCATGCAACCTATGTGCCAACAAAGTCCAAGAGTGCTGGATATCCCAGCAGAGCACCACTCTCCTGGTTAATGTTCCTTCACTCTTTGGACCTGTCTGGCCCCAAGTTGGACTCCAGTCCACCATGCCTCCTTCCCAACATCAGGGAATGTGGGTCAGAACTCTCTGAATTAGGTTCAACAAAGATAGTGGATGATGGTGAAGGAGGTGTGACCTCCAAGAAGGACAGCAATGGCTCTCTCCAAAGACTCTTTTAACAAATTATGTTCCCTTCCATACTCTGTCCCCTCTTTATATCTTTCATCTGATTGAGGAGGCCAAGATTCATGGATCTAACTCTGCCATGTTTTTAGAGTTACAAAAAACAAAAACCTGGTTATTCGGGTCTCATTTGGGATTTCATCTCTATTACACTTTGATGTCTAGATAATAGCTTAAACCCCATTACAAGAGTTGGACATGAATGAGGACTTCCTGTGACTTGGATACATCCCCTCTTTACCCTCAACATATTCATTCTGTGGTGCTGGGATGGGCGATTTCTCTTGCTCTTATACATTGGTTTTTGGAAGCCTGTACCATGGTAGGGCTAACATTTTGATCTCTTTCAATGCAAAAACTTATTTTTACAAAGGTGTACAAGTCATCAGACAACTAAAGGAAGCCTGAGATTTAGTCCTAGTTCTACCATTAGTTAAGTTATTGTCTTCATCTCTGCTCTCAAGAGCTTCAACTATATCACAAGGGGTTGGATCATAAGTTATTTGAGGGTCTTTTCAGTTTTCACAGTCTGCAGAGAGACACATGAGAACTGGGCAGAGCTGGGGACCTGGAGAGACATCTGGAGAGTCAGAATCCTAGCCTCCTTGATGTGGCTGGACAGATTGGAGATCATGGAACTGATGTGGGGAATAGGGGGATGATATATCTTTTGGGAGGTAATGAGTCAACAATCAACAGACCCTTCCCTGTATTCCCCACCAGGCTCATCAATGAGAATGAGGTGAAACAATGGCGAGACCAGGCAGAGAAGTTCCGGAAAGGTAAGGGGCTCTGCCTCAAACCACTGCATGCTCCGCACAACCCCTCCCCTGCCCAGCCCAGGACCCATTCGAGGTAGACCCATGCATGTTCAATCGTCTCTTCCCATTTTCTCTCCTGTCCTACTCCCATCCCAGAACACATGGAGCTGGTGAGCAAGCTGGAGAGGAAGGAGCGAGAATGTGAGACAAAAACATTAGAGAAGGAAGAGATGATGCGGACACTGAACAAGATGAAGGACAAGCTGGCTCGAGAGTCCCAGGAGCTGCGCCAGGCTCGAGGACAAGTGGCAGAGCTGGTAGCCCAACTCAGTGAAATCTCAGTACGTGGATACCCTCCTCTCTTTACATGTTGAGCTGAGACCTTCAGGATGAGGTGGGAAGAACAGGTGTGGGGAAGGGCTGAGGACCTCAAGATGAAGGAGAATTTAGAGGAGCAGCTCAAGCCAGGATAGAGAGGACCTCTGAGTCTGTAAGGGTTGCTACATTTGTATTAATTAGGAAAACAAACAAACCAATACTGTTTTCCTTGGGTGACACTATCCCAGGAAGCACACCTGGCAAAGCAGAGTGCAAGTATGGTTTTGCGCCCCCTCCCTATGTAGCTGGATGTCCTTGTGCAGGCGGTAGCATACATAACCATATGTAGCATTCCTGCTGTTGCATTGTGATAACTATGACTTTATCCAGTGTTATGTATGTGTGTTTTACCTATGTGTATGTGTCTGTGGTTGTGTCTGTGTATATTGGATATTTGGGGTACAGAGAGGAAATGGGGGGGCAAAATGTGTGGGAGAGGTGAGAGCAGGATTGGGGTTCTAGTATAGATGAGTAAGAATAAGGAATAGTGTGGTGTGAACTTGAAAGGTAACCTTGCTTGATGGCTTTGTCTTTTTGATTTTTCTGTCTTCCCACAGACAGGACCAGTATCTTCCCCGCCTCCCCCTGGGGGCCCACTTACCTTGTCTTCCTCAATGACAACCAATGACCTGCCTCCACCTCCGCCCCCTCTCCCATTTGCCTGCTGTCCCCCACCTCCACCACCACCTCTTCCACCTGGTGGGCCTCCCACTCCTCCTGGTGCCCCACCATGCTTCAGCATGGGCCTGCCTCTCCCTCCAGACCCCTGCCCCAGCAGTGATATCCCACTCAGGAAGAAGTGTGTTCCCCAGCCTTCCCATCCACTGAAGTCCTTCAACTGGGTCAAGCTGAATGAGGTAAGTAACAAAGAAAAGATCAGTAGATCCATTCTCCCATAGCCAGTGACAATCAGCCCCACGGATTGCGTGCCCATTGTTTGTAGATCTCCCGTTCTGGGTTCTTTCTTTGGGTAGGGGGAAGGGAAGGCACAGTAGATGCAGAAGATGGGATTGCTGATGCCAGACAGCTCACTGTCCACTGGGAAGAACATCTATGCTGGGAGAAGATAGCTTGGCATGTGCTAAGGGTCACATTGGAAAAGCCACCTGCAGACAGAATGTGTATGTGGTGAGGGTTAATAGGGTTATGTTGATACCAGAGCGTGGGCCAAACAGAGTCACTTTTCTGGACAATACAATGGCTGGGCTAGAGTTTTAAGAATAGGGTCTATTTGAGGAAAAGAGTGGAAGATATAGGCAAAGAACTTGGGCCAAGGTCTAGTGATGGTAAAGATCAGGCTGGTGTGTTCAAAGGACTGAAATGATGAGGCCTTGGCAGGGGACAGGACAGCACCCTTGCCATGAAGAGTTTCATGTCAAGATGTAGCCATTTTGGCATCCTCCCAGTGGGAAGTAGACACTTTTCTAGACTTTTCTAGACTGCTCAGTGGTGAGAGGCCTTCATGAATGTTATCTGTTCTAATAATCAACAATCCCAGGTCCATGTGTGGGTGTTGGTTCCTCTGTCGGACTCTCACAAGCATGGAGTGGATTTGCCCTGGATTACATTAGGCTCCTAGTAATTTAAGTCCAGTTCCAGCCTGGGTAGAGCCCTCCCACTGGTTCTGTACTAAATCCTATTAGGACCTGTGACTTTGTCCTTGAGCTGGGACACATACATGGTAACTGTGTTCAGTTCGCCTGACCCATACACACACTTCAGCGGCCATGCAGACATCATTTTGGAGCTTGGACTAAGGGATGCCCTCAAACCTTTTGTATGAACCTCTTGGTCTGACTCTTGGGGAATTCATAACTGTACCATTCTATGCAAGCTTAAATGAGTTCAGAAGGAGACTTAAGTGGGAAGAGACATGGAATTGTGAAATAGATGGGCAGCTAGCTATGGGTTAGCTGCCTCTCCTAATGTAGACTGACAGCTAGTCAGTCAGTCTGAGGGCTTCTTTGTGTAAAGATTTGTTGCTGGAGGTCATAATGGATAATAATAAAAGGTGAGCCAAAGCATTGCCTTGTGAGAGTTTTGAATCTGGCAAATTAGGGATTTTGTTCAAGGAAACACCTAGAGATCCTAGGCAGGGATTGAAGGGGAGGTTCTAAACTCCGACTAAACCAGGTTTGGCTCTAATTAACTGGGCAACCTGTGGAAATCACTCAGTTTTTACCTCGGTTTGCTTACCTATGAGATTTCTAAGATTCCTCTTACCTCTAATTGAGGTGGAAAGACAAAGCATGAATAAAACTCATAGTTATGGGTCTCTGATAACATCTCCAATCTAAGTTGGTAAAATTTTAGAGCCACCTGTTAGCAGAATTTTGAAGCCACATGGTTGACATTTGTGACAACTGTACTGCACAGCTGCACCCTATGGGTCCTTATCCTCGGTCGTGAGGCAAGCGGACAAACCACTCTGCAGTACCAAAGGCCACAGGCTGTGTGAAAATTTTCATTGTTCATGATCAGAAGTAATAGATATACCTCTTGTGGTAAAAAAAAAAAAAAAATTATCTCCTATACTTACAATGTATAACTTAAAGGTTTTTGTTTTATTTTTGCTTTCTTAAAAAAAAAAAAGCTTAAAATCTTTTATTATAGTTGACACAATGTTACATTAGTTTCAGGCATACACATAGTGATTTTATGACTCTGTATGTTTTGCTATAGTATGGTATTTCTATTTCTATTTTTTTGAGACCTCTTTATACCGTCTTCCACAGTGGCCGCACCAGTTTGCATTCCTGCCAACAGCACACAAGTCTTCTCTTTTCTCCATATCCTCATCAACAATTGTTGTTTCTTGCCTTTTTGATTTTAGCCATTCTGACGGGTGTGAGGTGGTAGTGGTTTTAATTTGTATTTTCCTGATGATGAGTGATGTTGAGAGTCTTTTCATGTATCTCTTGGCCATCTCTATGTCTCTTTTGGGAAAGTGTCTATTTAGGTCCACTGCCCATTTTTAATTGGATTATTTAAGGTTTTTTTGGTGTTGAGTTGTGTAAGTTCTTTATCTATTTTAGGTGTTTAGCCTTTACTGAATATATCATTTGCAGATATCACCTCTCATTCAGAAAGTTGCCTTTTTGTATAGTTTAAAAATTTTTAAAGTTAATGAAAAGTTGATTAGACCCCCCCAACAATTAAGGAAAATAGACAAGGCAACTAATATTTTTGCAATATTTTCATCAAATGGAGCTTTGGATAGGATTTTCTCTGGGGTCCAGTAATAATAAAATCTATATAAATTCCTCATGAACCCAAAGCAGGCCAGAGTATCATTCCTGGACTGGAAAATACTGGTGTGATGGAATGGGGAGTAGGGGGGCACTCACAGGAGTTGTAGACATTGCTCAGCAGAAGTGAGTAGAGGGGACTGAATAATATTTGTGGACCTGTTAGCCCACTCCCAAGCTTTTAATCATGTGACCAGGAGTTATTTAAGCATTTGGGCTTCAGGTTCCTGATCTACAAGATGGGGGGAATTATGACATCCACATCAAAGGATTATTGCAAGGATTAATTTACATATGAAGTACTTGGAACGGTGACTGACTCAGGAATTCATAATAGTATTAGGTGAGTTATTAGTGGCACAACCATGCACGCCTTAAGTGTGTTATCTCACCTAATCCTTCAACTTACTAAGCAAGCATTGCTGAGACTGCTTCCTTTTGTGCGAAATGAGAAGAAAATGATACCCTCCTACTTGCCAAGGGTCCCAAGTAGTCATGAGGCTGGGAGTGCAAGCTCACTTGCTCTGTTTTGACCCCAAACGCTCAGTGAGAGAAACACAATGAAAAGGGTTTTGGAGAAAGATTTCTCTGGCATATAAAGGGTATGTCTAGAGGGACCGAAGCCCCAGGGATTTTAAACAGGAGTTGATGAGGTTTGGGCCAGAGTGATACAAATTTAAAGCCAGGGATCATTCTACATAGTGGGCACATCAGGGCGCCTCGGTAAAGCATAGGATGTGGAGAATACTAGGAAATGGGTTATGGCCCCAGAGCTTGGCTTCACCTCCTCGAGGGGCTGTGTAGGGGGATGGGTTGGCGTTTGGCAAGGAGGGTGGGAGAGCTGGGCACTCAGTCTGTTCTCCCTGGGGAAAGTCTCCCTGGTGTTGTCCATCCAGCTCTTGCATTCCAGCCCTGTCTTAGCCCATCCTCACCGGGAGTAAAGAACAGAGCAAGCTTTACCTGTGTGGGCTTTCCCATGGAGCTCACTTCCACTCCAGACCTAGCCTCCGATGGGGACCACTGAGAGCTTTCCCTTCCCTGCTTTCCTGATTCAGTTTCCCTTCCCATCTTCTCTCTGCCTCCCATCCACTCCATTCCAGGGGCCTGGCTCCTTTCCCCAGTCCCCTTCCCCTACTCCACGCATGCTCCTGTACATACACACCCACACCCACACACACACACACACACACACACACACACAGTGGTTGTTTCTGCCATGAAAAGAATGTGTCTGTGTTGGGTTTGGCCAGTTGCCTGTATCCCTTGCTGCTCTAAGCTTCTCAGCCCGGCATTCCACAAGAGGGTCCCTGGCCTTAGGAAGGCCACAGGAATGTCCCCACACCCCCCCCAGCTCTGGCCTAGCCTCCCCTTTCCAGAGTTTAAGAAAATAAAAGTGAGTGAAAGGTATGTTTTGCTCTCTAAGCCTTGCTGAGGGGGAGATGGAGGGAGAAGGGGGTAGTGGCCTTAGGAAGGTTCCCCAGCTGCCCCCCAGGCAGAGGAAGGTGAGAGATTCCATTTTAAAGGACAGGAAAGCTCAGGATGAGGCAAGTACTCCTAGGAGGACAGAATTGAGCACCCTGGGAGGGCTGAGCTCAGGCCTCTGAACCATTGTTGGGGTGCTGTAAGACCAGTGGGATGTTCTCAGCTTTGCTGATGGAGCCTCTCCTCAGTGTGGGGGTTCAGTGCCAGGGTCCCACACAGAGGTGGGGCAGTGCTTAGGTGGGGAGAGCTGGGAATGTGAACCCTTGGATGCATTCCAACCATGAGGGATAGGCCACTTTCCCTGGGTCTGACCAACGGGAAGCTGTGGCAGTCTCGCTGGCCTGAGCAGTCACTCCAGGGATCAGGACATCCCAGCCTTTGGCATTTGCCACTTTCTGACAATTTGTCATTCCCACTTTCTGGGAATCTGGGAAAGTGGGAGGAAGACCCTCTGGGAGAGAAAATGACCATCTCAGATATGGGAAATCTAGTGCGCACTGAGGATTTGAAGATCTCAGATATGTGGGGTCACTATCCCTTGCAATGACTCTAGCCAACCCTGACCTTTAGGGAGTATGCCCCAAGAACACTGGTTTGGTTTGGTTTTTCTGGAAGGAGTTTCATACCATCATTCATATTGACCTACCCATCACTCTTGCCTTCCGTTTGATTTCTGGAACACATGTCTATGTGGCCCCATGAGAAAGGAAGAGCAAGGAGGTTGACTCTGGCCTCTGCCCTGGAACAAAGTATTGAAGGTTTGTGGGAGACGAATTGACTCACTTTCTGAAGGTCTGAAAGCCTGACTATTATAAAATGTGCACCTGGGAGCAGGCGGAGATAGACATTGGACCACTCATCGTGAAGGAGTTGGGTCAAACACCAGGTCTTGTCCTTGTTCTGAATCTTAGGCACGTGTCCCTGGCACCGTATGGAATGAGATTGATGACATGCAGGTATTTCGGATTCTGGACCTAGAGGACTTTGAAAAAATGTTTTCAGCTTATCAGAGGCACCAGGTAAGACCCTTCCCCACCCTCATCTTCTTGGGTCTTGACTTCTAGTTTTGACTTCACCTATGCCCCTTGAGAGCCCAACCCTCAACCTCTCTTCTTTCCCTCCCTTCCTCCCATGTATACTGAATGATTTTATTCCTTATTAGGTACCATGCTTTACTAAGTACAGGGATCGGAATCAGAGACATGCAGTGCAGCAGGGGAAATATCCTGTTGTATTACCGTTCTGGCACTCAGTTGTGTGTATTTACACACCGAGGGATGAAATAACATTTTGTCCATTTCTCTTTCATCTTGGAGCCCTGGAGGTGGAGTCATAGCCCTGGCTACTGTTGACCCCCGTTTTCTCTTTGACCCCAGGGTCTAGAGACTACACCTAGCAGGAATGATCAATTTCAAACTGCTCTCTCCACCATAGCCTGCCAGCACCCCCGCGAGTCAGTTAGCTGAGGATGTCCGTGTTTCCAGGAAGGTGGAGCTGCTCCAGGTCCTGTTATGGGGTTGAGGTTGGGTCTGGGCCTGGGCAGGCTGAGAAAGCCCTGAGCTTTGCTCTGCAGACTCTGCTTACAGATGGCTGGCCAGTCAGCCAGCTCTTCCGACCGCAGTAGGGGGAGTGGGAGCATGGCAGAATGCAGGGTACTCCCGAGGCAGTGCGATGCGGATTGCCAAATGTGCTGATTCTAACTCCTCGTCCTCGCATGAATGTGAGTCAGGAGGTGAGTCGGGGCCGAGGAATCCGCACTGTAGCTAGCACATCTGGGGGCTCTCCCCCGCCAAGTCCAATTTGGGCATTCCCAGCCTTGGGGCTTTAGAGTGTGATCTGAGGGTTGTTTCCTCTCCACACTGTGCCACTTTCTCTGGTCCCCTCAGCTGAGCCCAGGGTGACAGCCCTGAGGACCCCCCAGGTGATTGTGAGTGGGGTCTGGGCTTCCTGGGCCCTGAGTAGCAGCTGCTTGTTGTGGCTGGGCCCCCCTCTGCATTCTGACAAGTTTAGACCTGTGGACAGTCCCTCCTGAGGGCACATGAGACTCCTCTTAGGAGCCTAGCCAAAGGGACAGAGCTGGGGCAGGGCTCTGATCCTGACTTGGCATTCTAGAAAAACAAGATGGTTGTTATTTAAGTTAAAAGTAGGTGATCAAGTTATCTGATTCTTTACCCTCATTCCAGGCAATATTTTTTAGCCTCTGCCCACATCAGGCTGGCATGGCCACCAGCAGCATCTGTGGTCTAACAGGAGTGGGAAAGGGTTCTTCTTGAGTCTTTGGTGCTCCTGTGCCCCAGTGCTCCCAAGTGGGATGGAGGGAGCGTGTACAAGGGGTGTACCAGGCATGGTCAATCACACACCTCCTGGCTGGAGAGTCTTTCTCTTGGGCAATGTTCCAGGCCAGCCCACCCAGTGTTTGGGCCCCAAGGTGAGGCTAAGATGGGGAGCAGTGGGGAAAGAGGTCTATGGGGTTTAGAACAAACTGGGTTTGGGGCCTTTTGGTTTAGTGACTGGAGAAAAGTTAAGGTGGAAAGTCCCCTTGAGTCCCCTGTCTCCTTTCTTAATGCCCTACTGAGGGGCTGGGCTCACCCAGACTGTTGTCACTTGGTGGGTCGCCCAGACTCAGGCTGACTTCACAGCAGCAGAGCTGGAAAGATCCCAGAGGCTGTGTGGCCCTGGTCCCTGGTGGCCACCTCTCCCTATCTTGGGTCCCAGGTTGTATGTTTTGGTGGGGAGGGGGGGTCCCCTGAGCTATGGTCTTCCCACTGTGTCCTATGCAGCTCCTGAGTTAGTGACTTCAACTCCATTAGGGCCCAAAAGGGAGAACTGGGTGTGGGCCCTGCCTCCTTAGCTCCCTTGGAAACCAAAAGACAAAGGGAAGGGGTGAAACTCAGGGACACCCGCTTTCCTCTGCCTCAATGAATGCAACTTCTGCATGCTTCTGGCCCCTTCTGGTTGTATCTCCTCTTCTGTTTAGAAAGGTAAAGTCATCCAGCAGCAGAGAAATGCTATCTGCCCGCTGAGCATTTTCCCAACAGAGAAGAAAGGAAGAATAGCAACCAAGGCCTGATGTTGGGAAGCTTGGGTGCCTGGCCTGCCCCAGCTGCGGAGTGGTGGTCCCACTGGGCCCAGGACAGGCAGGGGACCTGCCTGCTCCCCACTTTGTGGCTTCTCTGGGAGTGTATGTCCACTAGAAGCACCTCCTGTCCAGCGCTAATTGCTAGTCTCCATTTCCAGCCATGCAGGTCTCATTGGGATGGGGTGGACAGAGTCAATGCTCAGGGGTCCCCATGTCTCTCCTACTGTCCCTGGGGTCCCTGAAACTCTTGGCTAACGTTGTGCATGTTTAATTCTCTGTTGGCTGTGGCTGTTACCTGCCTAGGAGCTGATAACTAATCCTTCTCCACAGGTGAGTCACTCTTGGGGCTCTGGACACTCTAACTTCTAACCACTGTACTGGGCTGCTGCCCTGTACTTCTCAAAAGAGAGGGCTTCTTCATTCTGCCTTCTACCTTTATGACCCATCCCTATAAGCAACATAGGAAAGGGTTCCCAAAGAGAAAGCAGAAATGTAGGGATGGGAAGTAATTCAAAAGGACCCCTATCAGCAATGGAGGTGAATGTCTACTGGAGTAAGGAGAAAGATTCCAGGTCTGTTGTCTTACCTACCTGGCCCAAGGCAAAGCCGTCCTGTAAGACTGCATAGGTTGGGCACTGCACAATCCCAAGGGCACAATTCACAAGGATAATGATGTGAGCAGCAGCCTCTCATCATTGTGCAATATAGAGCATGTGCTTGGAGGGACCTCTCAGGGTAAAAACTAGTTTCCTCTCTGCCTCATCGAGGGCCCAAGAGAAGAGAGGGAGTCTGATTTTTGGGGAATCTGCTGCTGGAACCCCAGTGGAGAGAATTCTTCATGGAACTCTGTCTCAGTTTCCCCACTTCTGAACTTGTGGATGCCCTCTAATCTGGGCACACTGGACTGTGCCTGAAGTCCCCAGGAGTCCAGGAACTGTAGCTTGATGGGGATTTGGAAACTGCTTCCCATAACAAGCTTGGAGAAGCTCTCTGGGTAGGGTGGTGGAGTGAGGATTCTGTGGATGTTGGGGATCATATAACATTGCCCAAAGCCATAGGGATCAGTCACCCCCCTTCCCCTGGAATAGTTCCTTCTTTAGTTTGTCCAGAAAGGGCAGTCTTTAAAAAGGGGGGCTCTTCATTGCCCTCAGTCTGTTCTAGCCCATGGTAAAATCCCAGATGCCTCCTAGTAGAGATGGTTATTAACCACCTTCCTTTTTCTCTCTCCTGTCTTTTTCTTTCCCTGTCTTTCTTCCCCTCACACCAGGAGCATCCCTTGGTTGGTGTGGGAGTGGCTCCTGGGGGGTGGGCAAGGAGAGGATTGGAGCATACATGTATACCTCAACCTTTTTACTTGGCTTGTTGGTTTCAGAAAGAGCTGGGCTCCACAGAGGACATCTACCTGGCCTCCCGCAAAGTCAAAGAGCTGTCTGTCATTGACGGCCGAAGGGCACAGAACTGCATCATCCTTCTCTCCAAGTATGTGCTTTGTCCTGCCTCCTCAGTCCCTGTTGGGAGGGATGGATCCCTCCAAGGAAGTAGAGCCCTGAGAAAGCTAGAGCAAAAACATATAGTGGAACTGAATGCCTGGGGGACGGGGTGGCCGAGGAATGGGGTGATAGCTGTCTCTCTGCTTCCCCTGGCCCCCGCTGTCCCCTGGGAATGGTAGGAGACCGCTGATCTAGAACCCTGTCTTGGGAGCTTATGTTCAGCAGCAGTGTGGGGCTCTGCAGACAGGAAACTGCCCCAGTCACGATGACCAGCCTGGTCATCGTCTGGCAGCAGAATTGCTCTAAGCCCATCGAGGGCCCCACTAGGCTTAGGCCACAGAGCAGCATGATCTCAGCCCGCAAGCATTTCCCGCGGCTGCAGAACAAACAGGGCAGTATCTGCATGAACAGCACAGCTTCTGTGTGGGTCCTCCCCCTGAGCCAGGGTCAGAGGGCACCGCCACCCATACTATTCTTAGTGCTGGCCCGGCCATCTCTGGGACATCCATGCCCCTTTCTTCCCACAGGCCTCAGGCCTCAGTTTCTCTCTCTTGAAGATGAGGGAGAGTTCTGTATCTCCAGGGCTCCAAGTGGTGTGCATCTGGAGGGAAAAGGGAGGGGCTGTGTGTGTGTGTGTGTGTGTGTGTGTGTAGGGGGGTAGCTTTTCCCTCACCCAGACAGCAAGATGTATGGGAACAGCTGTGTGGGAGCTGAGGCACTGTCAGAAGACTGAGGGCTGTTCTGTCTTCTGACAATGAAGGAAGCAGGAAGCAGCCCCCTTTGTGGGCTGTCAATAGTCCCATCTTCGCATGGAGGTACAGTAGATATTTTAGGCATAAGGAGAAGAAGGATCAGAAACCTTTTGCCCTGTCTCTTTGTCTACACTAAAGATGGCCCTTTTACTCCCAAATGTCCCTATCAGTTATGACAGAGACTCCAGCAAGACAGCAGATTCAAGTTTATCCTTAAAGATCAAAATATCTCATTATTATTGAGTTCATGGAGTAGACCATATGAGTTTAGTTAGAGAAGGCATTGCAGAAGAGGTAAGTGGGGAGCAAAGGGATATAGTCCCATATTCATGTGAGTGAGAGAATGCAGGGGAGGAGAAGGGCTGGGGTTTGTCCTGAGCAGAGGGGCCAAGCCAGACTGCTTAAGGGGCAGCGTTTTGCTTTAGGTTGAAGCTTTCTAATGAGGAGATCCGGCAGGCCATCTTGAAGATGGATGAACAGGAGGACCTCGCTAAGGACATGCTGGAGCAGGTGAGGTCCCTAGTGGGGAAGGGATGAGAGCAGAAAGTAGGGGGCAGCTGCACCCCTCCCTGCCCCCAGAGCGGCCACGACTCTTAGGTCAAGGAAAAATCAGACTGGAATATGAGGAGTTGGGGAAAGGTTTATAGATACTCCCTGGACCAGCCTTTCTGAGGGGAGGCTGGGAAAGACTGCATCTTTTCTAGGGGATTGAGCTCTTTGACAAGAGATATAAGTTATGATCCCCCCCTGGGTCTCAAGGCAAAATCAGAGTGACCCATAATCATATATTTCCCCAGTCTCCTCCACCTCTATTTATTGGGTCCTTCAAGAGAAACCTGGAAGGTACCAACAAAAGCACCATCAGTTGGACCTCATTAGAATTAAGAATTCTGTTTATCAGAGGATACCATTACTAGAGTGAAAAGACAAGCCAAACTTTAGAAGACATTTACTTCATGTACATGTAGCAAAGACTTCCTATTCAGAATAAAGAGCTCTACAAATCTGGGAGAGAAAATGCCAAACAGCTCCACTTGAAAATAAGCAGAAGCCTTCAATGGGTACTTCATGAAAGACAGTTTCCAAGTGGCTTGACACTCTTAGTCATCAGAGATATATAGTAAATCACACTAAGGCAGAACCACACACCCACCGGAAGAACTATATTGGAAAGACTGACAATGCCAAGTGTTGGCAAGGACATCAAGCAACTGGAATTCTCATCGAGTACAATTTGGAAAACAATTTGGTAGCATACACAAAGGCTAAACCTACCCTCCTGCCTAGCAGTCCCACTGCAGAGTATAGAGAAATGAGTACAAACATTGACTATAAAAGATATAGGCAAGAATATTTGTAACAGTTTTATTCATGGAACAACCCAACTGTCCATCAATAAGAAAGTGAATAAATACATTGTGGTATATTCTTACAATGGAATACTGTGGTAAACTACCTATACTTATGGTATGGATGAGTCTCAGACATTATGTTGTGCAAAAGAAGCCAGACACCAGAGAAAACACACAGCATGAATCCATTTATACGAAGTTCAAGAACAGGCAAATCTAATCTAAGGTGATAGAATTCAGTTGGGAGGCTATAACGGGGAGGGGGATGGGTTGCTTATGGAAAAAATACAAGAAAACTTTCTGGGGGATGGAAATCTGTATCTTTATCTGGATGGGAGTTCACTGGGTGGTTTTGTCAAAACTCATTGAATTGCACGCTCAAGATGGATGCATTTTGGGGCACTGGGGGGCTTGGTTAAGCATCTGACTCTTGATTTCAGCTCAGGTCATGAACTCAGGGCCCTGGGATTGAGCCCCATGTGGGGCTCTAGCTCAGCACAGAGTCTGCTTGGGACTTTTCCTCTCCCTCTGCCTCTCCCCTAGCCTGTGTGCATGTGCTGTCTCTCTCTAAGATAAACAAAATCTTTTTTTTTTTTTAAAGAAAACAAAAGGTGGATGCATTTTATGTAAATTATACCTCAAAAAACTTTAAAAGAAAAAAGAGTTTAAAAGGAAAATGTCATTGAGCTGTGCACTTAAAAACAGTGTACTTTACTATATACAAGGTGCATCTCAGTTTTAAAAAGTGAAAAAAGAAAAGTCTAGAGCAGGTGCCCTAAGGCCCCCTTTAGGCAAATGAAACATAAACCCACCGTGTGAGGATGCCTCTTTTAAGGACCACCCCGCCCCCATCTTGAGCATGGTCAGTGTATGGGCATCTGTTCAGGGAACTCCCATATGGGCTTCTCACCAGTTTCCTGTCTGACATTCATCTGATGCTCTTTGCAGCTCCTCAAGTTCATTCCAGAGAAAAGCGACATCGACCTCCTCGAGGAGCACAAGCATGAGATAGAGCGGATGGCCCGCGCTGACCGCTTCCTCTATGAAATGAGCAGGTCAGGGCAGCAGGCACGAAGGAGGGGCTGAAGCTAGCTCCTGGGGCTGGAGGGGGCGGCCTCACAATGTAGCTTGCCCTGTCCACAGGATCGACCACTATCAGCAGCGACTGCAGGCCCTGTTCTTCAAGAAGAAGTTCCAGGAGCGACTGGCTGAGGCAAAGCCTAAAGTGGAAGGTATGGTTGAGGGTGTGGGGAGGCCTAGAGTGGAGAGACATCTGGGAGGGCCCAGGGGTGGAAATCAATGAACAGGGATAGAAGAAAACTTTCTCATTCTCAATCCCCGCCCCTGCCTCCCCCTCAAAATAACCAAAGCCAAGGACAAATTTAAAACTATGATTATTATAGATATATGCACTTGTTTATATGAGCACATGTGCCAAACATGTGACATGTTTCCTGTGCCTCAGCCTGGATACTCTCCAGGATGGGGGGCCTGTTGACATTTGCCTCAGCATGGGACAGAAATGCTGAACAGATGATGATAATAACAAGTTCCTAGAACAGGGCCTGGTATGTGTTGAGCTCATCAATCTTTACCCTGCCTGAGAGGGGCTAAGTTCATAGAAGGCCTCTGGACACATTATTTTAAGTGTGAGCTTTCAGAAAAGTAGGAAATTAGCAAGGTAATTCCTGGTGGTATCTGGTTTTCTGGGTTAGGGAACCCTTCCGATGCAGGCCTTTTCCAGATGGTCAATTTGTAATTCAGTGAGAACCATGTAGCAAGCTCTGCATGAAACATTTCACGTGGATGGTCTCATTGGTCCTCACAATATCCCTCTGGGTGTGTCCATTCTCTCAGGTCTAAAATGGGGACATGCTGCCTGAGGCCATGTTCAGGGAGTGGTGGACCCAGAATTAGAACCCAGATCTTGTTCTTCAGAATTCATCCCTCACTCTTTGTCCTGCGGTACTTGATAGACGATAGCAGAAGACAGAGGGGCAGGGATTTGGGGAAGAACGCAGAGAGGTCCAAGAAGACCCACGAGCAGAGAAACAGAGAGGCTGTGAGGCTCACTTGTGGGGAAGATAGAACAGCAGAGTGAAAAAGGAGAGCCTGAGTCCAGGAGGCTGAGGGGGATAGTCTGGGGGTGGAGCAGAGCATGTGCCCCCTCTGCTGGACACCAGGGCTGACCAGCACTCCCTGGGATGCCCAGTCCAGAGACTGGCCCTTCCTGGAGTTGCTTCAGGGAGGTTTGGGGGTGAGGGTAGGTGGTGTGTGACAGAGCTGGAGGCAGACATTTTCTGCAATCTGCCCCCGCCCCCCGCCATGTGTATTCACACATACAAGGCAACTGCAGGCTGGGTGTAATCATAATTATTGATTGTTCTGAGGGAGAAGGAGCGAGGACAGCTGTGACTCTGCAGGTCTGAGGTCTGGCAGTACCTTCTGCCCTGTGATGAGTGAATCCCTACCTTCATACAACCTTCTTTGTCCTCCTGCAGACTGCCCTTGGGGCATGAGGCACTGGATGCAGGAATGAGCCAAGATATTTGCTCAACCATTTGTATGTCTTGGATCAGTGGAGCAAATGTGAGCAACTGCCCCTTGGAGATGTGGAACCAGTGTAGCCTAGCCCCTGGGTAGGGTGAATCTCAGAAAATCTCAGAGCCCACTCCAAAACTCCCCCTAAGTGTTACTCTCTGAATGCTCAGGAGAGTCTCCCTTTAATATCAAGCTGTGAAGAGCAAGTCATGTTTTGGATAACCTACGGGGGAAGGTAAGAATTGCTCTGCTGTAGCAATGGCTGCTAGCTATTCTAGAAAGGTCTGGATGGCTCTTCCTCTGAGAGTCAGAAGGAGGTGGCTGAAGTGGTATCTTACAGAATCAGGTCAGTGGCTTGAACTAGGGGTGGAGACCAGAGAATTGTACAGGAGTTGGAATTCCTATTTTTCCTTCCAGTTCTAGGAAATATTCCTGGTAAGCTAATATTTGGCCTATCTCAGCTGCTGATGCGCTTTTAACACCTTACCCTCCTCAATTTCCAGCAGGGCCTCTGGGTCAGTTTGCCAAAAGCCAATTCACCAAATTTGACAGATTTACCAATTCTATGAATATATTCATGAAACATATTTTTCTTGAATATATTCTTATGAATCTGTTCATTGTTGAATATACCAAATTTACTGATTCTCATTTTGAATAGATTTACTGAATATAGTCAAGATGAATATGGTTTCAAATGTAAACATTCTTATGAATATATTCAAGAATATATTATTCTTATGACTTTATCTAAAATGTCTGCATTGCAATGGGAGTTTTCCCATTTATACTGATTTCCTTTGAACTCTTGTCAATTTCTGTTTTGCCAACATTTTAGCATTTTTAGGAGGATTCTTTTGCAGATTTCTCAAGTAGCATATCAACCTTAGAAAAACCATCCCAACCACTATGAATTGCCAAAAACTTTTAAGAACTACTTACAAAAGTAAACTTTTTATTCAAATATGCATACAGAAATGTACATAAATCACAAGTGTCCTACTTGATGAATTATCATAAAGTAAACTCACCTGTGAAATCAACACCCAAGTCAAGAACTGGAATGTTGCCAGTCCTAAACACCCCTCTCCTCTCAAACATTACCCCTTGCAACCATTGGTCTAGCTTCTTTAAAGGTTTTGTCGGTCTCGAACTTTATATAAATGGTATACTAGACTATGGATAATTTTATGCTGGTTCCTTTTGCTCAGCATTATGCTTGTAAATTACCCTATTGTTACCACTAGCAGTGAGTTATTCGTTTTCAGTATTGCACTTTATTCCATTGTCTGAATATCATAATTAATTTAACCAATCTGTTTGTAATTTAAGAAAAAAATGACTAGAAACCACTCTAATACCCTTCAAGAGTAATTCTGCTATTAGGTCATAGACTGACTATGTACTGACAAAACTTATCATTCACTTTTATAGCTGTTTTTTTTTCCAGTTTAAGCTTCTACTTTTATTTTGTTGCTAATTTCATGATGCATATATAATGTACAGTTGACACACATGTTATATCCGTTTCAAATGTACAATATAGAGATTGGACAAATCTGTATATTATGCTATGTCCACCACAAGTGTAGCTACATTATATAAGGCTATTATAATACCATTGACCATATTCCCCATGCTGTACATTTTATCTCCATAATTTATGTATTCCATCATTGGAAGGCTGCAACTATCACTTCCCTTCACTCATTTTGCCCATCCCCTCACTTCCTTCCCTTCTGGCAACTATCAGTTTGTTCTCTGTATTTATGAGTCTGTGTCTGGTTTTTGTTTGTTCGTTTTGCTTTTTATTTTTCTTTTTTAAGTCTTTATTTAAATTTAAATTCAGGGGCGCCTGGGTGGCTCAGTGGGTTAAAGCATCTGCCTTCGGCTCAGGTCATGATCTCAGGGTCCTGGGTTCGAGCCTCACTTCGGGCTCTCTGCTCAGCGGGGAGCCTGCTTCACCCTCTCTCTCTGCCTGCCTCTCTATTTGTGATCTCTGTCAAATAAATAAATAAAATCATTAAAAAATAAATTTAAATTCAATTAGCCAACATACAGTGCATTAGTTTTTATATAATGTTCAAAGATTCATTAGTTGTGTATAACACCCAGTGCTCATCACATCACATGCCCTCCTTAATGTCCATCATCAAGTTACCCCATCCCTCTACCTACCTTCCTTTCTGCAAGCCTCACTTTGTTTTTTAGATTCCACATATAAGTAAAATCATATGGTGTTTCTTTCTGACTTATTTCACTTTAGCATTTTACTCTCTAGATCCATCCATCTATGTTGTCACAAGTGGTAAGATCTCATTCATTTTTATAGATGAATAATATTACATTGTATTTTCTTTCTTTGTTGGTGTACTGAAAAATTTCTCCCAGCTTCATTGAGCTATGATTGACAAAATTTGTATATATTTAAGATGTACAAGTGTATATACTTAAGATTCACAATTGTATATATTTAAGGCAGTGGCTTTTTATTAATTCCAGTATAATTAACATGCAGGGTTATCTTCAGTTTTAGGTGTACAGTGTAGGGATTCAACAATTCTATACATTACTCAGTGCCCATCACAATAAATGTACTCTTAATCCCCTTCACCTATTGCATCCATTCCCCAACCCCCCTCCCCTCTGGAAACCACCAGTTTGTTCATTATATTTAAGAGTCTGTTTTTTTTTTTTAAGATTTTATTTATTTATTTGACAGAGAGAGCTCACAAGTATACAGAGAGGCAGGCAAAGAGAGAGAGGGAAGCAGGCTCCCTGCTGAGCAGAGAGCCTGATGCGGGACTCGATCCCAGGACCCTGAGATCATGACCTGAGCCAAAGGCAGTGGCTTAACCCACTGAGCCACCCAGGTGCCCAAGAGTCTGGTTTTTTGTTTGTCTCTTTTTTCTTTGTTCATATGGTGCTGGCTCGGAAATAGACATATAGATCAATGGAACACAATAGAGAGTCCAGAAATGAACTCACAGTTATATGGTCAATTAATCTATAAGGGAGGCAAGAATATACAATGAGAAAAAAACAGTCTCTACAACAAATGGTGCTGGGAAAACTAGACAGCCACGTGCAAAGGAGTGAAACTGAACAACTTGCTTACATCATACACAAAAATAAACTCAAAATGGATTAAAAACCTAAGTGTGAGACCTGAAACCATAGACATCCTAGAAGAAAACATAGGCAGTAAATGTCTTTAACATCAGCCTTAAGCAACATTTTCCTAGCTATGTCTCCTTTGGCAAGGGGAACAAAAGCCAAAATAAACTATTGGGACTATTGGGACTATTTTTACTTTGATAAAAAGCTTTTGCACAACTGTGTCTTTTTTATCCATTCATCTATTAGTGGATACTTAGGTTGCTTCCATATCTTGGCTATTATAAATAATGATGCAGTAAACATAGAGGTACAGATATCTTTTTGAATTACTGTTTACATTTTCTTTGGGCAAATACTCACTGGAATTATTGGATCATGTAATATTTCTATTTTTAATTTTTGATGAACCTCTATACTGTTTTCCACAGTGACTATACAAATTTACATTCCCACACACAGTGAACAAGATTTCCTTTCCTCCACATCTTTGACAACAGTCGATATAATCTTTTTGATTTTAGCCATTCTGACATGTGTAAGGTGATATCTCATTGTGGTTTTGATATGCATT